ATTTCTAATATGTCAATATGTTTTCTTAGAGTAAGAACCTCAACAGATTTTTGCCTACACGTTTTTCCAATTTTAACTTTTTATTTAGTTGTTTAGGGTTTTTCTTTTTTTTTTTTTTTTCGGGGTTGGGATGGTGTTTGTTTGTTTGTTTGTTTGTTTTCTCACCAGTGAAAAATTAACACATTTGCAGACTTACGCAATGAAAAGAGAGAACACCAAATAAATAACAAATAACACTTTTATCAATGAGATATGGTATTTATTTGTTTCAAAAGTAAGCTTAACTCTATCCCCTGAGTCTTTGAATCTAATTAATTTCATTTACCAGATATATCATGTCGTTATTGGTCAAAACACATCTTCTGAATACATAAGGTAAGATAATCTATCACCATAGGTATATTAATCTATAGCATTGTTAATAATCAGCGTTTTCTTTTTCTATGTAATAATGCATTTGTACAGCAATGTCACTTTAAAAAGAATCCATTCATAAAATAATGACGTCACTTTCAAAATGGCTGTCCACGTGACATGATTAGTCTGTCGATAACAAATACAGCAAAAGATAATATGTTTGTCTGCAAATCTCTGTCATTTATAATGACCATATATAACACGCACAGACAGTTCAACACCCATAAAACAAAGCTATCTTATGGGTCGATGTTTGTTATCCTTTTTTTGATCGACTAATATACCTAGATTATCATTTCCTCAAAGGAAGGTCACAGTTAAACAAGATTGAAAACTGTGTTGTATACACACTAAATGCACTTGTCAACCTGCTACGTGCATAACCAATGACCTTTCAAGACCCTAAAAAGCCCTGACCTATACGGGCGTGTGATCCTAAAGATAACTTTTGTTTTCTGTAAAATAGCTGAGTAACACCTGACAGACTTTTTTATTACGACTGTGATAGCATATGGGTATAACTTGCTATCTGGTACATTATGTTTTGTTCCCTGACAATAGTTGACTATTGTCTTCTCCTGCCGAGCCATTTAAGATCGTTCTGGGATACCGACTGTGTATTTGGTATGACTGTTTATGGAGTCTACCTAATGCGCATGAAGACTCAGTCGTTGTCCTTACATGTCATGCAACCATGCTATACTGGTAAAAACGATCTTCCAAAGCGCTATTCATTTATGGAAGACACTGCTTGTGAACTTCAATCTCCAAAGTTTGCCGTACGTAACCTGCACGCCACGTTTTAATTTATTCGAATAGAATATGCACATGCCCTTGACGTTGTTCTAATATGAAGAGATGTATGAACATAATAAACTTTATTCAATAATGAGAATAGAAGTATACCTCCCCATGTAGATTCTCTCGGACACTTTGGATGTGTCTCAGCCTCTTCATAGGCTTCAAATTTTTGGACCTAAACATCACTGATGAATCCTAGAGGGAAGAAACAGCTGTAGGATGCAGTTTTATGCATTGTTTGACTCTACTTTTCCAACTCTTATTTTGAAGTAAAAGGTGTTATTCAGTTGTATGTCTTTTACAATCTCTGTGTAGCTGGTGTCATTATTGATATACCTAATGTAAATCTAAAATGATATACACAACTGTCTTTAAATTTATCACTGGTAATATTGAAAACGTTTATCTTGTTTCCAATATAAATTTACTATTATTCTGAGCAACACAATTGCTGTTAACCAGCCGACTAGAATGGAATGGATCGCTGTGCATGTTGTATCCATTACAACTACGATATATTGTTGTATCTCCGGTATGAAGATACTGAAATTCAAATGGTCCCGCAGAGCCCTATTTCTATTGCTTATGTGATCCTGGCAAAATACAAGCCGCAATACACTACTCGGCTACAGAGGACTTCTCTTGAGCGTGAGACTAGTACACCAAAGGTCCCGGGCTCGAATCCTAGCGCAGGCATTGATGAATAATGACATCTGTTACATTAGTGCCCAAGTAGGACTCGGGAATAATAATTAGTGTTACTTTTACAAGCATAATTTTAACCACGGGTAACTCGAGGACGAGTTATTACTTGGAGGGGTCATGTAACCCTGGTAAAATACAAGCCGCAACGGCTAGAGAGAACTTCTCCTTGGCTCGATCTGTAAATCAGAGGTCCCTGGTTCGAATCCTAGCGGAAGCATTGAAGTAGATACTGACATTTGTTAAAATTACGATTAACTTTCCTATCATGGAAATTGCCAGAAGCACTTGCAGTGGCGTAGCAATAATGTGTGCTTGTAAGCTTAATCATACGCTCAAAACAGCGATTATCGCCCAGGTTTGATTAAGGATCTCTAGAAACTCGCTTTTTTATTGTTCATATCCATTGAGATGTTGATACATAATCAACCAGTAATCACATTGAACATTCTTAATGAACAAAGTTGTTTGACCACATTGAACATTTTATTGCCGATAATGATGTTTTTCAACTGATTTTAAACAAGTCTGACAGGATAACATCAGGATTATTAAACTGATGTTGTTAATACCTTACAAAGTCAAATCTTACACGATAAAATCCGGATTAAAATACCGATGGTGTTATAACCGTACAAGTCTGACAGGGTAACATGCGGACAATCACACGGTTTCTTTGCCTTACTCGATTCGACATATACAAAAGGTGTACTTATATCTGACTTATGTCCAAGGAATAATTGCTTAGTGCTTGTGACATTGGAATCCTGATTGTTCTGATATAAAACGCGTTAATTTCTGTCTCCGGGCTAGGCCTCGTGGCATTGTTGAGAGATAATGGAAGATTGGTGTTTAAGAGTGCAGTTTTGGCATACTTCCAGTAATTGCGGAATGCTCTCAGAGATATGGTCACGTGTCACCTATCGTGTGTGACATTACGTATAACTTTTCATATATTAGCAAGTGCTGGGTTCTAGTTTAGAGACGGCTACCATATGGCATAGTGAATAGAAGAAAAAAACCGTTTCTGCGTGTTATGTTGAGAGATATGATATCCCTTAATAGGTTGTGTCCGTATTGTTGATATATTCGGAGATGCTTCACTCTGCGGCGGAACATATATACTTACTTAAAGCAATTTGCCTCTTTATTTGCTTTAAGTATTAAATAAAAAAAATCGGTTTTGGTTAATTTTATTTCAAAATGGTGAGGGAAAAGAGTTCATCCTTTCCACCCACCTTCGAGTGCTGTTACATTTCCTTCCTTCATGTCAGAGTTTAAGAAATGGCTGGATGAGTGCGGAATGAAGCCACAATGGCAGGTAATTAATATCATATCTTATGGATAAATAACAAAAACATTCAAGAAATTATGCTTACGAATACAAAGCACGATTTCCGTCTATGGCTTCCTAGTTCCACCGCAGTGATGAAGCATTTCTTGACAATAAAAGATTTCAAATTTTAAGATTATATAATTGAGTAATATACACCGGGCAGTAGACTGATATATCAATGGAATTATTTGTAAAAGCTAATATCTTCTGTAGATATACAATTCTACTTTAGATATCATTTGCAAAACAGTCTCCGCAAGTGCCGTTCATTAGAGTGCTGTATTTCGCCTAAAATGCATGTTTCAGTTATTTATTTATTTTTTTTTTTTACATCTGCTTTTGAAGAACTGTTAAGTATTTACTACATTTTGCCAGTAAAATATAGAAAACCATCACATTGGTCACTTACACCGATGAAACTGACAAATCATAAAGCCAGGTAAAAACATCCACAAAACCAGAAACCTACAAGGGTTGTTTACTAGTAACACGACCTTCAACTTCATGGCAAACTTTCAGCCCGCGTAGTAACTTGTTACAGGTAAAACATTCTTTGAACGTTTTACAGCAAGTTATATCAGTTAGTGACAAGGATAAGTAATATTTTCCATGTGAAAATAAATTATGTTGACATTCATTTTTGTGTTCATATATCTTAAATGATTTTTAACAAGCTGACTATGTGATGTTATAATGATTGGGTAGCGTCCACGATAAGTATAGTCAGCTTCGTTCTGTCCTAAACATATCAGTAATTTGGCTATTTTGCTTGTGAAAATGAAATAAATAGAATATTTAATACTATCTTCAGTAATAACAAATATATTTCACTCGTTTGTCTAATATTTTTTGTATCTTTCACTCGTGTTGCGCTTTGGTGAAGGATACTAAATATTAGATACACTTGTAAAATGTATTTGTTATCACTGAAGACTCTATTTAGCATCCTTTTTATATCTAGCAAACTCCAGAAAATCTTGTTTTGTTTTCCTTGAAGTTTTTCAGGTATATAAATGTGTTTAAATTAAGATGTTGACATGAGTTCTTTTTGCGATGTATTAAAATACTTGATACATTGAACTATTTTAATATCTCACTAATTACAAGAACTAATCATAGGACAACATGAACAACGTACCCACTATATCAATAGTTTTCGCCTGTTTTCTCTCTGGTTATTTAGTCCGGTAATACTGTTAAGAAAATCAGTAGAATTGGTTTACATGAAGTTTAACATTAACTTGTTTTTCTTTTGTATATATGAATTATTGCAACGGAGATTTCATAATATTTTACTATGAAATAATCTTCCAATAGAAACAAGAGACATTTCTTTGTCAACGGTTAATTTGGACAAACTTGCTAAATCTGTAAGAAAAGGCAAAAGAATTTAAACATTTTCTTTTAATGTCTCACCACTATAGCCAAAGGTCATAATTCCGTTTTTGAACAGAGCAGAGGATTTTAAAGGATAACTTCTCTATCGTAAAACAAAGGACGGACGGAAGGACGATTACAGGCGACGGATGCCGCTTCCTATCGTTTACGCTCATTTGTCCTTTGTACCATGTAAGCTTAAATATAAGAATAAACATAAGAACTAAGTTACGTCTTTGCACTAAAAAATGCATTCAACCGACGCTGAAACGCAGAGGAGTGTGACAATAGCAAATCTCTAATTCAGACATTATTTTGATTTTGCAAACAGAGCATGGATTATAACACGATTTCTTTCGAACGGGAAATGTCCACCGACAGCGGGATTCCTTTGCAAAGTAACAGCAGAGAAGGAAGAGAAGATACTGATGTGAAGGCACCTATTCTTGCGAAACCGCAAATATCTTCCGAATCGGATATTATCTATAATGGCGTCAAAAGTAACATACACACTACTCCATACGTTTCTGAAACAAATCCTTTACCCAGTAATTTCGATCCATATGTCCATTTAAAACCAAAACATGACATTCCCGAAAACAATGGAAACGGTGACATACGAGATATTCTAAAGCAATTGGTTGGAGAAAATAAAGAAAAGAATCCGGGTTCCGGAAATGTTATCAACATTGGAAATATTAATATCTATAATTCTCCTGATCAGCAGTACTACGGAACCGCGTTCCGACGACCTCCTGATCCGTGTGTTCCACATCATTACGACTACCCTGAACATCCAAAAGGTAACTAAATTTCTGTCTTTCTTTGCTGGAGGGTTTCAACTGTTAGTGACCATGTAGATGCACGAATACATATCATGTCGTGGTGATACAGTTGTCTCTAAGATTGGAGATGTTGCAATAGTCAAAATGTGGTCCTTATCAATGTTATGGATGATTATTTCAATCAGAAAGATATTTAGCGGGAAAACTTGCAAAAATAACATATCACATGAACAATCACATGATTGCTTACAATTTGAAAAAAAAATATGCTTCTAGATGTAAGAAACTCACATCATCTTCAGTTTAGATTCAAAACCCTTTAAATGGATATTCCAGTCTTGACCCAACACATATCTTTTAAAATATCATTGTATTCGTGTTAAGTGACATCATGGATTCTTCTAACAGGAGGATATACGTCTCCAACAGTATCTGAGGAGGATGTCTACATTGGCCGGTCTGATCGGAAAACAGCCGTAGAACATAACCAGTCATCCGTTCCCGACGACGAGCATATCAAACCATACAGAGTGACAAGAAACTTCTTATCTAACTCTAGACCTTTTTCAGGAATACGGGTGAGCATTATTTCTTGAAAGAAAAACGTCTTTAAAAACTAACAGTTTTCGGATTTTGGCTTAATATTTTAATAATTATAGTCTGTTCTATAGATATTGTGAATGAATAAAAAGTCAAACCATGATTTACACAGGAAAGCATCGGTGTAATGTCCCTCGTTTATAAACGTGCAACACTTAAAGATATAACGACATTCCTTTATACAGAGTATAACCTCGAGAACGCGTACTCTTCTGCACATGCTTTAGATATAATCGCCATTTTTATTTAATATAAAATCGTTTATCGATTCACCGAATTAAAATTCAGTAAAGTTTGTTTTGCCGTTGGTTCAGAAGTTGGCGGTTTTACCTCTCAATAGCATGTCTAGAGGTAAAATATTTCACTTTAGAAAGCACAAACTACCTTAAAATCCAAAATAGATATTTCCATAATGATATTTAATTATGAATGTATTAAAGGTTGATGTTTTTAGCACAAGATGATACAGATTAAATTATCTGACGCTGCTGTATTTACTTCTTAGTCTCTGTTGTTATTAAATTGTATCGTATCTACTCGTCCTCGATACTACACAAGTATTCACTTTCGCTCTCTGCATCTCTGGACCACGTCATGGCAAGATTGAAGTTTCCATTCGCGACACCTAGTTTGATCATTTGACGTACATCAAACGAATCTCGAGGTCGCATAACGTTATATTGTCATAGCGTTGAAGTTGGGTGTCGCTCATATGTCAAATTTAACTTGGAATCAATCAAATTACCTCAATTTTGCTATGACACATTGTTGCAGAGGTGCAGAGAGCGAAAGTGATCATAACCCCCGGAGTATCGAAGACGAAATCTGCTATCCAACATTATATATTGATAATAATGATACGTAAATCATGTTGTCAATATTCCAACTTATATATCAATATCGTTATAGGATACATCAACGCCCACTCAGTTGGAACAAAGAGCTGCAAGGCACGCTAAGCTACAAGGTAAGTGCATTTGGACAAAAAAATGAAGTTTCTGCAATTCTTTTGTCAAGTAAAACCTTTTCACTTGCGTATATATGCGATGCTATCAAAATAGCTCGGATTGGTGTAACTACGCATTTCCGTCGTATGATGTTAACATTTAATAAAAAGTATGATTTTTGGTGATTACATTTATGTCATTATCAAAGAACAATATTTAACTGGTTATTAATTATCAATATTAACTATTAGTAAAATTCAATATCTTATCAATTTGATTAAAACACACACACGGATTGTCGGCTTTGCTTCATCAACATTCTTATAATTTGTTTGGTAGGGAGGGTGTTGTCGAAATAAGTTTTCAAATGTGTATTAGGTCTTTTATTTGAAATCGAATATAGTCTTTGTGGTTCACGAATATCGCAACGATAGACATTCTTTTAATCATTATTTTGTTGACAGCCATGTGTTTTCAAAGCATATCTAATCAGGACAGCTGATACTAATCTCCACAAATCTCTCAGTTTCACTATCAGATTAATAGATCACGTGTACTTACCCATAAAATAAAACTGGATTTATTGAATGCATGTGTATCATCCTGAACTTGAAATCAAGCACTCTTTAGTCTATTAAACACTAGTGGCTTATTTCGATGGTCTATCACCAAGCTTTAAAAGTCAGAACAAATGAAGACTTCTCGGAATGAACATCTCATTCCTATATGTTTAGTCCGGAGGCAGATGGAAACAGGACAAGTAGAACATTTGGAATACATTTTCGCTGTAAAACTGACACCTGTACAATCGATATTTGTGCAGCTCTGTGTAAAATGACTTTGTTCGTTTGCACATTACATGAAAACTAGATTCACAAAAATAGTACTCATAGGATCGAATTAGTTGTGTCATATCTTAAAAAGGCGTATCTTATAGTTCTTTAGTGTAATGTTGGCTGTAGTAAACACGGACCATACAATATATAACATTTTTATTAACTTGAGAATTATTTCAGTTAAATGCCTGTTAACAGATACTCCTTCTTTAGAATTCTTCTATTTTAATATTTTGGAATGCGGCCAACCGGATCTCGCCTTGAATAAAAGATTTCTATACGATACATTTTTTCGTATTTGTGAATAACTCTTTAATATAATGGAATCTTTTATCTTATATTTTCCTTAACCTTTTTTCTGGTCAAATCACATATTCTTTTCTAAGCATCAGTTTCGTAGTTTATCTAACATCAACCTATTCACGTTATGATGCTCAAAAGGGGTTCATTTTCATATTACTTCAAAATCTTCACCTACAACTCTAAAAATATTAGAGATAAATACCACTAGCTGTTCATGTTGAGGGGTCATTTTTACTCCACTTTATTAAACAAGTAAGGGGCAATGCCAGTTCTTATTCTATAAACATAGTGAGATCATGTGTGAGAATCTCTAATGATACAGCGGTGGATGGGCGCTGGCCTTTGGTCCCCAAAACTAACCATTCTGATTTCATGCTCTATAAGCAATGAAACAATACTATACAGGATCCTAAAACTTCGTTACCATATGACCGTTTATAAACTATCAGGCAATTTTTCACGAATTATTCTAATCATATTTACAATTGCTTTCAAATAGTGACATGAAAGCTGAACTTTGATGGTTACCATACCTAGTTTAAAGTATCTTCTTCTGATATCCCCACCCCCAAGCGAAGTGGCGCAGTCGTAACGCACCTGCCTTTCACTTAAACGGCCGGGGCTCAATACCAGACAAAAAATAAAAAACCATTCCGTCACTTGTAGGTTAACCCCATAGCAGGTACTCCAGTTTCCTTCCGCAGTAAAACCCCCATGCGGTTCCATCTAAGCCAACAAGAGTGATCAATATAAACTAAAAGATTGTTTCGCAATTGTTGAAAATAGAAAATGTCGATAGCTACAAACTCTAATATTGATTTTAGGACCGGAAGAAACACCTACCCGGATTATAATTCAGCCTCGACACTCTTCTGAGGACGTAAGTAGAATAAGTCTATCATTAATTTCCTCTCAGTCTTCATCTTAACATTATCATTGACACATTTGTCTCATTTTTATCAATAAAAGCGTGTTGATTAAACATGAATATTATCATCAGCTTACTGCTGCTGCTTATTGCTGCTCGTGCTATTCATGAACAACGCCTTGAACTAGGTACTTCAAGAATTGAAGATTCGCATGTTTTGCCTATGTTTCAGGCATTGTGAAAAGTCTTCTGTAATTTGTTGTTGACGAATTTAACGATTGGATTGCCTTAATTTTGTAGCGTCCAAGAGTATATGATGTTCAGCTAATTATGAAGGATTCCAAACAGCGATGGGAAGGAGAATTAAAGTCCTCGTCAACTCAAGATTTGAACCAAGAACCGCTGTCGCCTGCTGACACATCAAATTCGGAGGACAGTACTTATAACAGCCACAGCGAACCACGTGATGGAATCCGTCCGACAATTTCTGAAGATATTTGGATTAGTCCACAATCAGGACGACAACAGGATACCGAAATTAACAGAACAGCCCAAACTATGAGTAATGATTATAATGAAGATATTGAAGAAAAATGGAATTCTGCTGATGACAACACTATAGTGAAAGTTCCTTCTTCAGCAACAGAGGATTATCAAGGATATACCAAAGAAAGGGTAAATTCCGTGGTTAACCCAGTATACATGAGGACACCATCATTCGGATTCGCGAAATACAACAATCCTCCTGGTTATACGAACTACCCACCAGGTAAAGTGAAAATTTTGTCCGCTAATAATGTATTATGGCATTAATTCTATAAGTTAATTTCAGTGTGAAATTAGCCGTAGGTTCGACTGGCGGTCAAAAACAATTAATTATGAATAAAGTAGTTGTCTTATAGTAAAGATGATAAATAATAATATATTACAGGAATGTAAACAAACCGCAATTCTTACTTTAATTGTATCAAACCAAAACAAAACTAGAATCAAAGGACAGAAATGCCAGAAACGTAAGACCAGACTTTCAGTAACGGTAAGCTTTTTGCCTCGTAGAGAACACCACCTTTGTAAATCTAGGCCAATCAATGCTCAATACAGCGTTATCTGTATGTGCAATTACTGACTGTAGCATGTCATAATTGAAGAATAAATGTTTTTTCTGATACAGAGTACAGTAATGAAATGGTATGTATTTTTCATATTGATTCAATTTAAATATTTGCAATATTAACATATGCCGCACAAACATTCATAATTAAGCTTCAAATATATATCTATATATACACATAACTAAGAGTTTATATCTTACATGCTAACGTAGCATCCGATCCACATTACTTACTTTAATATCCTATATATCTATCACTTTTACCATTCACTTAAACTTTATTCTATGTAATTGATGGTATTAAAATTACTGTATGGTTTACTAAGGCAAATATACTTAACTTTGATCATCAATACGCTATACAAAAGCAGCGTAATGTGTGCGTGTTTGATTTAAACATATTTTATTTGTACAAAGTATACAAGCAGGATTGGGCACAAGTTTTCTAACTTATATAAAGCCCTTTCCTATAAAAATTTTACAAAATACATATTAACAAGACAAGACGACATGTTAAAATACAATTATAATATACAAAAAAAAAACGAGAGAGAGAGAGAGAGAGAGAGAGAGGGGGGGGGGGAGAGAGAGAGAGAGAGAGAGTTTAAATAACTTCATGTAGAGCGGTCTCTTCTGATACAAACAACACAAGTAAAAATAAAAAACGCTGTGTTTATTAACATCTTGAAATTTTTTGGGTTTTGTTAAGTATGCTTATTGTTTAAATATGAATGAGAGAGAATATCATAACGAAACTGCTACTTGATGCAGTTCAATACATTATCTGACTCTAATGTAACTAATTTCACCGTTGTTTGGAAAGGCTCTATTCAATTATGCGTCATTTATACAATTTTCAGGGTCTATTCACAATATAATACCAAAGAAACCAAAATGAGCCATATTCAATTTCGAATAACATGTTTGCTTTAAGACTCTTTCTCCAACTTACATTCAAATTGTGTCTGAGTGTTCCAAAGGTAAGCCCGTAAATCTACTGGACGTCCGATGTTTTCCATCACAATTGTGTGAGGCTGGAAATTGACATAGTTATTATACAATCACTAAGCCCCCCACTAAGAAAGAGAGGCGTATAAAGTAATCACTGAGACAGCGCGCCCGCCTGCAAAATTTGTGCTTAAAATTACCCCCAATCTGATTTCATTGATGTTAAGATTCACACCATAACATAAAAAATAGCAAGGAGTGTATGCATCCAGAGTCACTCCTCACTTCGTATTTATCGAGGTCATTACAAATGTAACGACTTCACATCATACAGTTTACATAGAGGTAGCGAATTGTACATTATCAATTATCATTGACATTGGTATAGAGAAAGGGACAAGGAATGATATTGATGTAAAATGCATTGATTTTCTTATGATTTATATAGTCAATATCGAAATTAACATCTCGACCTGTGAACAGCCAATTGATGTGTTCATTCAAGTGACATCGATAAAGACCATACCCACTTACAAACTTATTGGCAACAGCAGAGAGTGCATTCAAATAAATGTATGACATAACAAGTTAATGAAATACCTTATATATGCAATTTACATTTGATATGAGGACATGAAATAACAATGACAAAAGAACTTTTTTCCCATTTTTTCTTGAAAGTTCTTGAATTTTAGTACAAGTTGAAATTTTTTTTTTATTTTCACAGCAAGCGTCTCATGGAAACCAGAACCTGAACAGAGGTGAGTCAACATAACATAATGTGAAGTGTTGAAATAAAGACATGTTTAACGCCGAAATGAAAAATTTAAAAATTTTTAAATATGGAAAAGTGCTTTTAAAAGTCCAAAATCTGAAAAATTTTAATCTATATTTGAAATGCTATTAGCATGAGTGTCATTTCTAGTTTTTTGGAAAAGTAGCGTTCATTTAAGGCACAAATACACATAACCAAATTATATCAAATTTACAATATCTCCATGTCTTTTTCATTTGTTTTGAAACTTATGTTTTATATTTTAAACAAACCGAATTGTCACGTTAAAAACCAACACCACGTAATTTTGAAATTAACCAGGTTTACGAACAAAGCATAAATACTTACAAATAAATACACCAGTTTTATATTCATCACAACTTAAAGCTTGTAATTTTTTACAATGCCACACACATTTTTAATGTTTTAAATTTTAATTCTATGTTGATTAATCAATCTTGATTTAAAGTACATGGTAGATAACATGTGTTAAATTAGTGAGCCTCCCATGCTAATAATAATTTAAATGAAAAGAAGTTGTTAGTCTGTTAGTTAAAAGCGATGTAAACATGTATACCATAACTAGGTTTTTGTCAGGCTACAAAGGAATAACTACAGCATTTAATGCGTCAATTTTCAGTATACCAGTAAGGCTCTATTTTTCATGCTGATAGATGGATATCGTTTTTAAGAAAAAAACGAGTATTTATGCATCACACAAGGATACAATTTTTGTTGGACAATAACTTGAATTTCAAGGGTATAGTTATCTGTTTAAACGACCCGTTTCTTTTTAATATCTTCTTCGTTTAGTCAGATCAGGAAGTAACATTAATTGACACGTGATAGAGATTATATTTAATTACCTTTTGCTTTAAAAGTTTAAAGAGGTGCTGTTATCTGGGTTCTTTGAAGGTCCGGTTACGAAAACAAGTTTGTGTGCTTTGATTTTAAAAAAAAACTTAAGTTGGCTTAATATATAATAAAGTACTTGTATGACAAAAGCTTTTGGATGTTGGGTTTGTGGGTTTTTTACTTGTGTGGAAAGGCATACATGGCTGATCGACATGCAACAGATATTTAAATACTGATCGATATTATCACAATTAACACACATTTGTCTTAGCGAGTAACAAAATGTGATCACAAAAAAACAAGGTAGTCCTAACAGTCAACACAATATTATCACAATAAACACACATTTGTCTTAACAATTAACAAAATATTATCTATATCTTAGTTTATAGTTTGCTTTACAGTGTTGTTTTGTTTGAATGTCGGGTTTTCTATTATAGAGAAACTTTAGAAACTGAATACCCCGTCAAGTTAATTTCCTGTATCATTCGGTCTAACAATCAGCATTGATCACATTAAACTTAAAAATCACCGCTTAAATATAATGACTATTTACGAACGAATGTCGTGTTTTGTTCAGTTAGATATTGAGCCGAATATATGGCACATTTCGTATGGAAGTTAAATCTGTGAAGGATAAAATTACGTGAGCTCAAAGAGTGCCTTGAAATGTTAATAATAAGTGTCCTTTACAACTTGGGTGTATTTTAACCTCAGGACTTTCTGTGTTCGGAGTCCGATTTTACTGATTAAACAAGACAGACAGTTAATATACAGTAAAATTTTAATTATTTTCTTAAATTTTCACCAATATCATTACAATCTAACCTTAAGGAAGTATTTATGTGTTTCTGTATTTATTAAAAAAAACCATAATTTTACCAGCTAGCTACGTTTTATATGTGTTTTTACAAAAGCGCCATATTTATTTGTTTACTGTAGAATCATAGATGTATATTTGATATATTTCACATCATTAACATGACGAATCGAGTACCAAATCGCGAACATTTTCAGGCTTTGTGGCCATCTTAAGTCTATTGCACTGGTGCAAAATAGACTGAAGACATTAGGGATTTGGAACGTCATTTGCCATGATAATGTTATGTACTTTTATATATACGATACGCAAAGTGTTTCTCATCTCATATCTCAATGCTCACGAAACAGTGTAGGTATTGATGACGGTCTCTCTACACTGTGTACGGCTCCTCCATTACAGGATGGTCAATGTCTCAATCAACACCAGATATAAGACAGAATGCTTTAGTCCGAACATCCAGTTGGTTTCCGAGTAAGCCCAAGGTCAGTAGTCACCAGTGCTCAATAGCGGGTTTTGTTACTATGCATGACGAGAAGACGATAGAAGACGCCAAGGAGATGCTGGAGAGTAATGGAAAGGTAAATAATTTTTTTTTAAGTTTCAAAATGGCATACATGTAACTCTGCTATTATAAACCTATTGTGTTCCTGTTGTTGTCCCGTTTTTTTGAGATCTGGTCTTATTTTCGTTGTACTTTAATCAAGGTCTTCTTGGAAATCTTTCATTTGTTCATATGTTGCCCTTGATTCTCCGAATTTGAGTTTGTTTAAAGATTTTTTCCCCCTTTTTTTACAATAGACCTATTAAATGGAGAAATTGATTAATAATTGCTTTTGTGTTTTCAGGACGGAAACTGGCTGGTGACGTCAGCAGTGAGACAGCCAATGCAGTCACATTGTCTCCACGTACGGCTACATAGCAAGATCAGTTCATTTCCAATCAACAAAGCTAAAAACAACAAACTCAATATTGACACAACAAGAAGTAAGGTAAATAAAGATTCTATAATGAAAAAGACTGCAGTACTTAATCAACAGAGAATTCTAACACATACATCGTACAGTAGGCTAATTTTCTATTGTGGCTACTAACTTTCACGATTCCCCGATCATAAGTAAGACTTACATTCGTGAAACACATTACACCATGCTATACATAAATCAATATATTTCAATCTTTGTCTTAATTCGCAAGAAGTAACTTTCACGTATTTGTTTTGATCGCAAAATTATTTTTAAACGCTGCAAACAAAAGACGGTCGGTTTAGAGTACTGCAAACGTTCATTTCAGTAAACGGAAAATACTTATACATAAAATCAGACTACGTTAACTCGAACACGGATAACTCGAATGCCCCTTTTAAGCCGAAGTATTTCTCTAGTTCCGGCCAAAATTCGCCTTTTTATCTTAGTTACCAAACCTTGGTTATTCCGAAGTGAAATGTTAATCCTGATAATTCTAATTCCGAAGTTAGGCGTTAAGCAACAGAAGAATCTTCTCGTAATTATTCTTTCATTTCCACTATAGAATGTTCACAACAGTGATTGTTCTGAGTGTGAAATGTGTGGTTTTATTTTATGTTCCAGTCGTTCGCTTGTATTTGTAAGCTGATCTACTACTACACAAACAAGAAAAACTTACCCAACCAGGACGTGAAGTTGGCAGATGCATTCAGGATGCCTCCACCATGTGGGACAACGGACACTTTTTCCCAAGTGTCGCATCTCTAAAGGATCTGCAGGATAAACATTTTCAAAGATATGAATATATTTTCAGTTAATTTGATCAGTTCGTTTTTCTATCAAAAGTTTACGTTTGTGAAAATTATTTCTAAAATGATAATCAAAACGTTGGAGTATTTATAAGTTTACTATGATATATGTCAACAGCGACACATGTATGCCAGCAATGAGCTTGTATTACATTTGGATACATGATATGAAAAGTGTCTGTTCAGTAATATGTTGTACCAACTTTATAGCCAGTAACATGTGTTCAGAATTCATATCATTAAAAATATACTTGCTGCTTAGTTTGTATGCTAACAAAACAGCTATGTTAACGTCACATGACGTTACATAACGTCACACGATATGAACAACTTCACACATATTTTGTATACAGAAACAATAAACAGATGTAGCTTCAAATTGTAAGTGTATAGATCTAACAGTTTGGAAATATTAGATAATAAGTAACTCCCCATATCTGGCCAAAATCGAGACCGAACTATAGAAACGATATTCTATGTTCCAATTTCTAATAAATTGCCTTAATGATAGGGAAATTCGCCAAAAATTGTGGCCGATCCACCTCCAGGCCTGTCATGTGCCTAAACACAGGTGTCAAGAAACGGTTCGCCTCTAAGTCGATATACACTTGGTGATCATTAAAGATATCCGTCAATCGAGCTTAATATCTGGCGAGTATTTCCACCGCTACAAATTTAGAAACCATCTGAGCATACGTGCTCAACTTTGAGGTGTTTGTTAACCGAAGTGCCAAGTGAGCATAGCGTGATCGATCTAACAGGTTCAGTGGCAGTTAACCTCAATAGCTAGATACTGATGTCACGTCATTACACATGGACGTCTGATTACGGTCTTTGGTCGACTTCAACTGTGCGTTAATGGCCGTCGATGTTTCAGTGTCAAGAAACCTAAAGTTGCGTACTCTCTGCATAAGCGTTACAATAGTACGCCCTCAGATAAGCTTTGACGATGACGTGTAGACCTTGTTATATAGATCGATAGATAGTGATTTGATTTGACGTTAACTGTACATGCTTTGGTCCCACGGAAAGAACAAAGGGTTTCTGGTCACACGTGGTTGATTCAGAACAAGAATTCGGGTTTTAGACAGGGTTTACTTCATTCCATACGTGTTCATGTACTTGATAGAAATACGTAACAATTTTAGAAGTTAAATTTCTTTATCGTTTTAATGTATACATAATCATTAATGTATAGAAAGCTCGAATTCACAATCTATGAATTTATGTTTAAATTTACAATAAACATGACACGTCCACTTAGCTTATCCTGTATATCAATAATTTTTTTCATCTTAGAAGAAAAGAATTTGCATTTGGCGTTGGAAAATGAAATTTCTGTATCAAAAAGTTTAGATAGGATAGTCACGGCAGGTAAGCCGCGGTCCTATTATACTGACCCATGTGTACCTGTGTACAGTTGCCCAGAAGGGTAGAACAGAAGGAGAAAATGTATATTATTTCCATATCTTTAAATCAAAAAGTGTATCCGTCCGCCAAAATGTTAAAAATGGTCTATATAATTACCAAATAACATTTTTACTTTTACTTATCGCCTCTACTCATTGTATTAATTAACCTAGCAGCGCCAGTAGTAGTCTGGAGGTTCGACTCCAGTTAGTGTTTACAAAATACTGATTGTCTGATCCTTATATCGCTCTTAAATGTAGATTGCCACTGCACTCTTTGAGTTAGCGCAAATCTTGTCTTAAGCTAAGCGTTTATCTCGCATTCATTTTCACACTTCTTTATATAAAAGAAGTATATATATATATATATAAAGATCGCCGTCTTTGTCATTTCAGTATTCCCTTTTACATAATAAATTGTCCATACATCATTAATCAAGAAGCATGTATTTATTGAATATTTCTGTTGTGTAAATATCATACCTGTTTAAATTTTTTTGTCAATGCATTTGACATAATTTGTACATATGGCTAAATTTTCGAAACAATCTCGCTCACAGATATTAATCTGAATCGTAAATTAAGCATATCAATTGAGGGATGTAATATCAATATAATGATTGATTTCGTGATCCGAGGAGTGTACCATTAAGACATTGCATCACTGAATACTCTATATTTATCCATCTTTAAGAACGAGATTGCCAGTATCGAATTCTACACTGTTTATTTTTTATCTACTTTTGTTTTGTTTTGTGTTTTTGTTTTTTGTTTTGTTATCATTTAATTACGACGCTATTGTTTATAATCAATAAGAGATATCAACATCAGTTCGCACAATGTTTATTAAAGGATTTTTTATCTAGATTATACGAAGTCCATATTTTCCTAATACGAATCTATTATACATATTTTACTAGTAATTAAGAATCAAAAAACAATAAATTCTATGAAATTGATATGACGGGAAGACAAAACCTTATCAGGTGGCTTAACATTGGCAGAGGTTGTGAACTCTTCGAAAGAAATTACCCGCTGCATAGGCCAACATCCCAGAGTATATTCAAGTGTAAAAAGACCTTGCTCATTACAAAGGGAGCTAAATGCTTTACCGTTGATAAGGACATAAGCGTATAGCTAATAAGGTAGTATATATATATACATATATATGTATGTATAACTGGTCGTATTTCACTAGAAATGCTTATTATATCACCAATGAATGTCTATACTGAATATGACAAGACTGGAAAATGTCTGTAAGATATTGGTTGATAAAAAAAGCAATTGTCCTTTTTTAACATCCTGATACGGGACTTGTTAATATAGTAAACAAGTTTTCTTTTAGAAGACGAGAAACGGGTATTCAAGAGTTCAAGAGAACCACGAGACTGGCAGTCACCATTTAAGGATATTTTGTCTTTTTCCTGGTATGAGGAAGTTTCAGACCAATATTGAAGTTCTCGTTGTAACAACATAAGCCTTCCGAAGCATGTTGTTTCAGATATGTGAAGAACAATCACATTTTTATACCAACGTTAGACTCAAAATATATTTTTTTGTTTCAGCTTGACCTTTAAAATGTTTTAAGCTCTGCACAGGAAAATAAAGGCTTTGATTTATCCGTGAAGTGTTTTTAGTGTATACATTCAAGACAACGAACCGTAAAAATAATAAAAATTGAATAATTATTCAGCGGTGTAGAGCTTTTCCAGACATGTTTGCATGCTCAAGCATGCGAAACAAGAGATCCCATAGGGATCTTGACGCCCGCCATTGTTTGATCTTGATTGGCTCTTTGAAAGTTGGATCCTTTCCCTTCTCGTCTCTGTTTTCACTCTTAATGATAAGAAATTTGAACATTCCTTTGCAGAACTAGCGATGATAATTTTTACCTGCCAAATGCAAGATGGTCACCTGAAAGCCATTTTGTTTCTTCTGATCTGTCCCAAAATCAAACGGGCAGAACTAGGGAAAAAGAGGAACCTATACATAGAATTTGAGAAATATTTTGCAGTATTTATAAAGAAATAGCGATAACAAACTTTCTAAGTCAAAATCCGATCAGCCCCTAAATCAAAGAAGAGCAACCAGGGAAATCAACCATTGAAATTTGATGTTTTTGATGATCGGTCCAAAAATTAGATGTCTACAAACTGAGAACAAGGGAAACCTACATATGAAATTTGAGAAAAATCTTCGCTGTAGTTATCAAGAATTATCGAAAATCCAAAAGAAGCCACCTATCAGCCAATTTTTTACTTATCAGTCCCAAAATCAAACTGTCATAACTAGAAACAGTGATAGCAGAAATTGTTTACAGCCCAACCACAGACATATGCTGTTGTAATTTGATTTTATACTGCTATCAGATATTTTGGATACTTACTTCCCCCTGAGCCCCTGAGCATACAAAACAATCAATACCTAGCAACTTAAAGGAATAATTATAACATCAAGTTCACATTTAATGCACATGTGATTGTTTCTACTACTTAACACCGAGCTAGGATTCCAAACTTACTATAATGATGAATTTGAGATTCTACAGTCTAAAGTATAACATCAATCAACACAAGATATGAAGAGTTTGATGGTGAAAGCAACCTATTTTCATACACTCTAACAGAAAATGATGGGATACATAATGGTATGGCATTGTCATTTGATATTCAAAAGTTCATACTTTCAAATTATATTAAAATAACATAAACAACTATATGATTCAAAATACAGAGAAGGTAACTGCCATTGCTTGGTAACAAATGTGAATTAGCAGTGCTTTATCCTACATCTAACAGAGAACTCCAATGTTCTTTTCACATACCTACATCTAGTGATGTTAAATGTTGTATTACCTACAACAGAAGGCTATATATTAATCTAACAATCAACATCCAGATTATATATTACATCCCTCTCATTTTATGGGGGAGGGGTGTATATTGTTACTATGTCCGTCCATCTGCATGTCCTGTCCCTTTCTGAATCAATGTCTTATCTTTAGATTCACTCAGAAGATTTTGATCATATTAAGCAAAACTGTCAAACATTGATACTTATATCCAGGGAAGTGAAGGCATTTTCAAGTCTCTATGATTGATTTTCAACTCTATATGGTTAATTTCATATGTTTCTGATTTTTCATTGATTATATAGGACAAAGCTGGGTTGAGAGAAAACACAAGACTTGTTTTGTATACAAATTTTATTGACTAAAACCATGCATACATGAAAATGTTAACTCCAGGTTGTCTCAAGTTTATACTTGGTGATCAGTGCCACATAATGATTGACAGACAATGAATAAACAATAAAAATTGCCCATCTACTCAACTATATTGACATCTTCAACACTTTCCACTTTTGTTGCCAAAGTCAACATTGTTTGACTACCTAAACCAAGTCTTAGAGTTTCTTATTATATAATGGAGTATTAATTTTGCTAAACTGACAGCTATCCTCGGGTTCAGATTCACACAAGCCTTAGCCAAGATCCTGAGTAGTTTGGCTTAGACTTGGCCAAGGATCTGAACCTGCCCTTAGTCTTTCCAGATTTTTTTTCACTTACTGGTTATTATTTCTATGTCTAAGTAATAAATCCTGTGTTCCACAACTAAAAGAAATATAAAAATAATTAAATTTGGACTACTTTTTGAATTAAATAATACAAAATGTAATATAGATATTGGTAAGTAATGGTAAAAGTTTCCTTATTTGTTATTTGGACAGTTCAGGTAATAATGGCAGGAGACTGAACTAAAAATACAACATTTCAGTAACAGCCTTTAAGTTTCACAAGTTACATCAAGATTCATTTCAATGACAAATCAAGTGAAAAAATAACTACATGCATGGAAAGTTCTAAAACAATACTGTCACTTGAAAATAAAATAACTGTAATTTTTAAAAAAAGACAATTATCAATATTCTACCACAAATTAATATTATTAATTCACATGTACCGGGTACCTAGAAAATATTAAAATATACTTGATTATATTACATTCATTATTTGTTAATTACAACTGAAAGTAAATTTGAATAAATTAGAACAATATAATACAGTGTTTACTTCATATCTACAAATGAAATATATTACTGAAATACAAACATGATTAATACACTCTGTAAGGGCATAGAGTCTGATAGATATTAAGATATTATCAAAGGTGAACTACTCCCTTTAGGTATTTATATTAAATACATGTACATAAGGATAAAGATATTTGTATTCTTAAATCACTGATGGTTATATTTTAGAGACAGCTATATGTAATAATGCTGGACACTGGTATTAATATTCAATATTCTCTTTATTAACTATATTAAAACAATTTATTACTACCAATTCATAAAATCAAATATTTTATTCAACTTTTGAAAACACATCTTTTGAAGTGTAGCCCAAAACCTTTGCTCTATCTCTTATTCTTTCTTTAAAAATCCTCATATAGTGGATTTTTGATAGTCATCAAATAAGGGGATGAAATCAAGTAATTTGTGTCACTTAAGAATCATTTCAGCTGAAAATAAAACCAACAACAGTGGACTAGATAGAAATAAACATTTGTATATTCTTGAAAAAATATCATTTTCTGAGATCAAATGAAATTTTAAATCATATCTAAATGCTAGATGATTGATAACAGCAAAATATTGTGGTGTATTTCAACTACTTCAATGCTAATAGTTACTGTAGCACAGAAATATTTTTAGCTCTATATCAGTCCTAATATCAATATATAAGCAAATGTAATTACAGTTACATGAAGGTCTATGTGATGTACATGTAAAATTTATATAATAGAAACAAATCTGTGACTGAGAATAAATTTTGTGATTTAAATGTACACATTTAGAATTTGTCACAAAAATTACAGGTATGTGGAAAAACCTGTTACACAGTCTTGCTTTTATGGAATTGTCTCCCAATCCTCCTGCATTAAATAGTACAAGAAATGTAATTTCATGGACTTAGAATACTAAAAAGAGGTCCATGGGCCTTAACGGTCACCTAAGGTCTTTAGAAACACATAATTTTTGTTGTTGTAACATATTTCATAAAAGGCACCTTATTAAGAAAGAAAGATATTATCTTAAACTACATTGTAATTTTAACCCCTTCCCACAATGTAATGTAAAACCCTGACATGATAAAATTAACACTTATGGTATAGAATATTAAGACCCTTTCATTCATTAAAGAGTAGTAGATTTTATTATAACTTTGTATCTTTTAGATTTTATTCAATCTAAACCCTTATTGCCCTGTCCATCAGCTGCTGGAGGCCATCAGTTGTCAATAAGTGTATACCGTCTAACTGTCACAATAAGTGTTTACCGTCTAACTGTCACAATAAGTGTATACTGTCTGTCACAATAAGTACATAACATCTTACTGGCACAAAAAGTACATACCATCTAACTGTCACAATAAGTGTATACCGTCTAACTTTTGTAATAAGTACATACCGTCTGTCACAATAAGTGTATACCGTCTAACTGTCACAATAAGTGCATAACATCTTACTGGCACAATAAGTGTATACCATCTAACTGTCACAATAAGTGCATAACATCTTACTGGCACAATAAGTGTATACCATCTAACTGTCACAATAAGTGCATAACATCTTACTGGCACAATAAGTGTATACCATCTAACTGTCACAATAAGTGTATACCATCTAACTGTCACAATAAGTGTATACCATCTAACTGTCACAATAAGTCCATACTGTCTAACTGTCACAGTAAGTGTATACCATCTAACTGTCACAATAAGTGCATACCATCTAACTGTCACAATAAGTGCATAACATCTTTCTGTCACAATAAGTGCATACCGTCTAACTGTCACAATAAGTGTATACCGTCTAACTGTCACAATAAGTGTATACCATCTAACTGTCACAATAAGTGTATACCATCTAACTGTCACAATAAGTACATACCATCTAACTGTCACAATAAGTGTATACCGTCTAACTGTCACAATAAGTGTATACCATCTAACTGTCACAATAAGTGCATAACATCTTACTGGCACAATAAGTGTATACCATCTAACTGTCACAATAAGTGTATACCATCTAACTGTCACAATAAGTGCATAACATCTTACTGGCACAATAAGTGTATACCGTCTAACTGTCACAATAAGTGTATACCGTCTAACTGTCACAATAAGTGTATACCGTCTAACTGTCACAATAAGTGTATACCGTCTAACTGTCACAATAAGTGTATACCGTCTAACTGTCACAATAAGTGTATACATCTAACTGTCACAATAAGTGCATAACATCTTACTGGCACAATAAGTGTATACATCTAACTGTCATCCTATACTAAAAAATTCTAATCAAGTTTGAATTTTTTTTTTTTTTTTTTATAAACTATTGCAAACTTTACCCTTTCCTAATTGGGAAATGTGTAACCCAGGAGTGATGAAATAAACAATATAGATAAAGCATTTTCTGTAAAATGTTTTTGAGAAGTGGAAATGGTTAATTGTTTACAGATGCACAACAGACGACCAATGACAGACAATTGACAAACGGTGAATGCAATAGGTCACTTGATAATTTGTCTCTTAATAACCGAGAACTATACTTCAAGGTATTATACACAACTTACGGTATGATTTGTTAAGGTCGAATGTATATACTGATCATTAATTCATATTACAAAAGCACATAAAATTTCTATTCTACAAAATACAATCTAAAATTCAATTTCGAGTGCAATAGAATATATCTTCTGCAAAAGTTGCTAACATTTATTAAGATACATCAAGGTTGTTTCAGAATTAATCACTTGGAAGATTTTTTTATCAGTAGTTCCATATATCACCCAATGTTTTACATTATATACATGTATAGAGAACGGCGGGGAGAGTTAAGACTTCACATTGCCACATGAATTATTACAGCTGAATGAAAAAATTTCTAGTCAAGTTCAAATTCTAGTCAACATGAATTATTGAATATGCTGACCAAATTTGCTACACCTATACTTATCAAAAGTATAAATGAAGACAGTCCTCTTTAAATATTGTTGAAATTACATATTCATGCTGATATGAACATGTACATAGTCTTAAATGCCAAAATGTATTTTTACAATCAGAGCAGTGAGTTAGTTATTTGTCCAAAAATTTATTTACAGGATAAAAACTTTAAAAATCTGTCAGTTTTATTATTCCTTGTAGCTTTTAATATGCTTATTCAACAGCCAATTATTTTGAATTGGTACTAATTGTGATAGTTATTCACAGGAAAAAATGAATTGTCCAATTTTTTTCACTTTTTTTTTTTTGTATCATTTTAAACTTGAAAAAAAATTCGTCTTTGCTGTGAATTCTTTAAATGCTCACACAGTGAGTGTCACTTGCTAAGGGTTATCACAGCTAACTAGTTACTTTTATCACAAGGAAATACAGACATCATCAGGAGCTCATGTACACTGGGAAACCATACACAACAGGAGCAGAACCAATGAGGTACGGCAGCTGACATACCTCCCTTGCTGCTGGCAGGATATCCATTAAGGAACTAGGCTTGTCTGCAGCCAGCCAAGTGGACAACAGACTCTCCAAGAACCGATCAATGTCACGGTCAGTCACATCCCACAGGTTGGATACAATACATGGGCTGCCATAAAAACACACAGGGCTGATAAATTTTTGTCTCTGATTAAGATATTAAAGTTTCCAATGGAGACTAGGTATGGGTAAAGATGCAACATAAAGTCTGAAGTTTTATTTTCTCTGTTTCTCCTTCATATAAAACCATAATTAATCCACTGATTTAGCAAAAACTGATATTCCTTTTTTGTGTGTATTTTTTCTATTTCATGTCTTGGCTATAATAAATGCTTGATTGAGCAGTAAACAAGAAAATCACTCACCATCCTGACAGGAAGTAGTTCAGCATGATCCCAGAAGCCTCTAATTGACCTTTGACCTGTAGACGACCACTGCTACAGCCCATCAGAATGGTTGCAGCTCGACAGTTGACCTGCTGAAGGTCATCGCCATGGAAATATTTGCTGCCACTGCCATGACCACAGTAGCTGTAAAGAGATAACATCTATAACTTCATTATCTATTCAGTTTTGTTTGCAGTGTCAAATGTATTTCTTTCACATATACACTGTGATATTGTAACACATTATATATGCTTTTGTAATATTGTAAAATCAATCAAATAGAGGTAGGTGTTAATCTATAATTATATAGTTCTAGATTAAATATTTTATACAGCATCAAAAATGAACTTTCCAATGAATACAAGGAATATTTTCCCAGTTTAGCTTTACCCCATATCTCACTTTCAAAATTACAAAATTAAAAGGTAGATCAAATGTTAAAACTGAAATTTATATCTTACATATATGGGGGTATATTTTAAACTGGAAAAATAATGAGAATATTTTTTTGTGATGGCAATAAATATCTTGGTCTAATTTCTGCCCACATAAACTGAAGAAGCTTGTAGCAGCTTTGTTAGAAACTTACAGCACTAAATCATTCCGGGTCAAAGCATCTTTGAACTGTTCAGCTGAGGGTTTCTCTCCAACAAGCCCCTTCCATCCAGGCTCTCTGCAAAATAAGTTGGTAATCACTTTATGCCATCAGCTATCAACTTATGTTTCTAACGCAGTGGCCATGTTTCCTTTCACTGTTCCTGTCCCCCTGCAAAATCTTCATTAAGAGATGTCTACGGTTAATTGTTAATGAGCTATAATTGATCTGTGATTTAAAGACATACTAGACGAAATTTTCTTGACCAAGTTGTACACTAAACAAAGTTAATATTTTAATAACTTGGCCCTAATAATAAGCTCCGAAAAATCTTTGTAGTGACCAGAATGGAAACATCACTGAATATTCCATATACATATTCATTTTATTTCTGATTTTATCCAAGTACATTTGTAATGACTCTGAGTTGTGAAAATGAATGATTCATATTATTTTTTGCATTTCAATCTCATCTTTATCATCTTTTTTAACACAACAGGATAGTCATTGGATTCCTTTCCAAACATACGGTGATATTTTTTTTATGCTGCACTTTTTTATAAGACAATGAAATAAGACATGAATATTTCTGACTATTCCACAGATGAATCTTCAGGACCGATGATAAAAATTTGATTATTATTCCCAGGACTACAATTCAGAGCAAATAAAGCTAAAACAAGATGAATTTGCTTGACATTATCCCCTCCGCTCCACTGTTTAAAAGAAAGACACACAATCATATATATATGTTAATATTACAAGTTTGTCATTTGGCATTTGGTCACGGAAAGGAAAGTTAATACTAATTTTGGTTTATTTTTTACTATGTTACCATGGTAACAGAAAAAATATTAAACATAAAATGCTGTTTGTAGCAAAAGTTACAACTAGGGCACTAACTTAATATATACCGGTATATCAAGTTTGTTAAGTTGAGATGAATGGTTTTGAAATTATATCCCAGAAAAGCTCTTGGATGGATGTACAGACACATGCATGCACAGACAGCCCAAATCAATATCCCACGTAAACGCGTTTTGTGGGGGATTATAAAGGTGATTGTGTTGAAAACTTACTTTCAAGTCTTTCTAATTCTAAGTATGAATCTATAATATCACATTGTATTAAATCAGTTTTAAGTGCAATAATTGGCAATGATAAAATCTGTTCGGGTGTAGTTTTTCTCTCCCAAATTAAGCATAGAAATTGAAGGTTTGCTTGTGAAGTTGCATCAGCCATGAAGTTTCTTTTCTACAGTCATACACATTTGCATTTGGAAAACATTATGTTTCATATCTTCAGAATTGTGAGAATACAGTAGTTTAATACCCATAAGACTTATCAAAACCAATAAAAGAAGCTATATTTTAAATTAAGGAATGAATTTACCAGCACGGGAGTGACTTACTTTTGAAACCAAGCCTGAAATGTCTCTCTTGTAGAGGACAGATTGCCGTCCGGATCCAGAAAATAAAATGTCTGCCTGCTGTTGATTCCTCTCTTGTATATGGAGCCCTTGTCTGCCTGGAGGAGAGATAGTTGAACACACATGTGATAGAAAGATGGAACCCGAGAAACTGAATTTTTCCTCAGTATCGGTATGCTTTCCCAGGGGAGATGTTGAATAGTCTGAAATAAAAAAGACAATATAAAATAATAATACATATTCAGAGACCTCTCTTCTACAAACTCATGTTTCAATAATTTTATAAACAACTATCATTGTGAATAGAATATTTCAAGTAAATATCATCAAATTTGTATGGTTTACTGGGCTTTTAACCCTTATCAACAGCCTTGGATAAATCAATGTGGAGACTACACTGAAAGTCATGCAGGAAGTCCATCAAATACTATCAAAAGTGACCGGTTTTTTTTTGTGTCCAAGGACACGTCCATTACAGAACAGGTTATGACCTGAAGTTACTCTACATATACATTTTATGTAAAGTCCACACATAGTAACAAGCATACCTAATTTTGTTGAACTGTCCTAAAATAAGCCATGAGCCAAGGAAAATTACTGTAATATTTCTGTCACCCCTGAAGTACATATTTTCTGGTAAATGTTAAAATAAACAATTCTAATCCATGCTTTTGGTATATCATACTTATTCAACAATAAGCACATGCCTGGGAATAAGTCCTCAAAAATAAAGAGATACAGTGTATATGGCTGTTCAATAAAATAACATATAAAAACAAATAGAAATGCATTTTCATTGCCCTTTTAAAAATGTGCCTGATGATTGCTCCCCCACTCCTCCCCTCGAGTTATTTGCAGCATAAACATGACATGAATCACAAAATAAGACACTTTACCTTGTCAAGTACTAATATGACATGCTGTGGTTTATTGTCCTCGCAAGGTATTCCAGCATCCCTACACAGACTTCTGACTGAGAAAACAAGGTCAGCTATAACTGCAGACCCAAGAGGATACCTGGTCAGTTCAGACAATGCAGTGGTCAGATGTTGGTCAGATAAGTTGTCTCCAGACTGAAGTAAAACCTACAAAGAAAAAGACAAGGCTAATGTACTCATCTATAGAAAAAAGACCTTTTGCTTCTATTGAATACAAATACAAAAGTATAAAAATCTATACACACCCTAAGCTTGGCACTGGACACTACTGCTCCAGTGCGCTGCTGTATTTCAGTCTGAACAGACTTTGTTAGGGTGGCTAATTTCTCTCTGTCCTGTTCATTCACGCATATACTGCCTAGTAGTAAGACCTTCCAGTGACCCAGCCAGTTGTTCTCTATACCGTCCAGCACACTCTACAATTTACAATAACACTTTAAATATAAATCATCATCATAACATATCTAACTTCCGGCATTATATTTTCAAAATAGTCCAAAATGATTAATTACATGACCTAACCAAAAATACTGTTTCTGATATACACTTGATTGAACTCATCTTTTTATTTTTTCTAACCTGAAGATTTTAGGGGCTATTTCTTTGGAAGGAATTAAAGATCTGGTACATGACTTTATGTTATAATACTATGGTGTGAAAGTGTTCATGAGATACCTTTTACACAATCTTATTATTTCTAAAGTAGTTAAGTATGACCCTTATGAACTTTGACCCTTTAATCTTAACCAATGACCACCAAAAATATGAAGTAATACTATGTGAACATGAAATAAAAGTGTTCAGAGGTTCTTGAGAGATACAGTACACAAGTTGTTTCTAAGAACTGACATAAGCATGCTATTATTATATAATGCCATCCCCCTATCCTTACTAGTTGGAAAGTATAATTATCATTCATCAGAGAACAAACACATGTATGTTTCAATTTCTGCATTCATTAACATATTTCCTTTATTAATATTGTTATCAATTTTTGGAATATGCAAAAGTCATGCTCAACATTTTCTTCCTGAATGTATTTTTTATCAACATGCAAAGAAATCCCACCACAAAATATGTTGAGGGATTGCAAAGTTTGAGTGATCCAAATATTAGTTGATTGACTGATACTTATGCTGTTTAACTATCAGTTGCTAAATTATTTCAATCCCATTTCATACTTACATGCAGGCGATCATCCAATCCTCTCCTCACTTTCCACCATTCAGCCTTCTTCGTCAGTTTGAGACTCTGTCGACTCTCCTCCATCACTGCTGTACACTCAGGTAGAATCTGCTGTCCCTAAAGACAATACACTAATAACATCACAATCTGATTGATAAGTCACATTACACAACTGGCAAATCTCTTATTTGACATGATACAATAACATTCTTTCAAAATTGTGAAATATATAATAATGCTAAATACAATTTAATTGTCAATATTCCACAGATTTTATTCTTTATCTGTAGCCAATATAGTGCCCTTGGAATCACCAAGGTTTTATAAACATTTTTCTTCTACACACAAACCAGGCACTAATGAATTGTAGATATTGAGAGCATTATGTTATATACAAATATGATTCCTTACCAGAAGACAGGAGATTCCTGTCAGACTGATGATGACTGGCTCCGAGTGTTTCTCAAACCGACTGACCAATAGTTGTGAGTGATGTGTTGGATGACTCACAACAGACAAATGACACACAACCATACCTGTAATCAAAGGAGATAATGATGTAGTTTAGCGCCATACAATGCACATCATGATACCCTTTGATTCAATTATTTTGATATGATACACTTGCTGTAAGTAATATTCAAATCTGACTTAAAAAGAAACATATCAAGTTTACTAAAATACAACATCTTAAAAGATCTCGTAGGATGTATGTATATTTTCAAAACTTCAAAAGATTTCATCAACACTAGATTATTTGTAGTTACATAAATAAATGTAGCACCAATGTTTAAAGGAGTACAAAAAACCAAAATTTTTTTTCATCATAACTACCTATTAAGAACTTTACTAAGGAATGGCTATGGAATGAGATTCGTTTCTACAAAATCAAAATTTTAGCGTTTTGAAACTAAATCAAATTTAGATCATAAATACATTTCACAAATCTACCGCAGGAATGCAATAAACACAGTGAAGTATAATTCTCATACCATCAGGAAGCCTCTCTATCATCTTTTGAAGATCCTGTTCAGATTTTGTAAATTGCAGACAATCTTGTTCAATCCTAAGCTTATCCAACCCAGTGTCCTCCTCCCTGCTACATTTGGCTGTTGTTTGTTCATAATTTTGTCCCACCATCCGTTTAGAATCCTTTCTTTGTATTCGATCATTCTGTTTTGGTTTAGGAGTCTTAGCATTAGAATTCAAGTTTTCTTTATCATTGAAAACTTGGCTCTCTGCTTCAGTTGGTTCCTCTGTCACTTCAATCTGCTCCACATTCTGATGGCGCTTCACCTTTCTAAATATCAATCATCAATTTTTTTTCTTCTTAAAACTACTTCACTTTTCTTGTCTAACATGAACACACATAAACTGAATAAATCAAAATACAAACTGAAAAAAGAATTACAATGCCTGAATATCTTTATAAGGATTTGACTTAGCTTACCAGATTGTATTAGACTTGTTCTAGTGGTCTGATGTTTATTTTTAACTAAAATATTAATTTTGGTCATCATTTATATCTGATACATAATGTACCTTTTACGTGATTGAAAATCCTGAATAAAACACTCAATTAAAACCAGGCTTTCGGCATGTTTCTCAGAGGGCTGCTCCATTGAAATACCTTATCAGTGATAAGACTCAATTTTGTCAAACATATCCTCATTTCTTTGCTGAAGTGGCCCCAAAAGAGAAATTATAGCCATTTAATAATTAAATATGATAATATTGACTGACCTGATTTTCTTGCCGGAGTTAACTAGAGCTTGATGACGAAATGTAATAGCTAGTGCTTCACAAAGATAGAACGCAGCCTTAAGGGGAGATGACTCAATATGCTGTAGACACTTAATGTGACAGATCTGACTGTACAGACCAGGCGACGGCATGTGGCGTACTTGTTGGAATGCTTTTTCGAGGGTGTCGACTAAGGAGGTGTCTAGCTGACGTGCTTCACTACTGTCTGTTATTGGATTAAAATCAAATGGTCAATAATTCTCACTGTCACGAATGAATGTTAAAATTTATTGGTCAATATTTCTCAATGTCAGGTAGACATGTTAAAATTAAACAGTAAGTATTTCTCACTATCACAAATGAATGTTAAAAATAAACAGTCAATATTTCTCAATGTCAGGTATGAATATTAAAATTAAACTGTTAGTATTTCCCAGTGTCACAAATGAATGTTAAAACTAAACAGTCAATATTTCCCACTGTCACAAATGAATAATATTAAGTATTACTAGTATAACACTATTTCTTTGATGATAAGGCCTGTTGCCTACATCAACAATACTGTCATATTTTATCAGTCTAGGTTTGTGTGAAGACCAAGTGATTACTCTTCATGCTGTAACCCCATATATTGTGTTATTTCCTCTCAACCTTCCAAGAAACAACGTACGATGTAAGCTGCTTTTCTTGGTATCTCCTGCTGATGTAATACTCTAAAATCTCACCCTGTATGATCTAGCATAAAATTTCTCCCATCCATCTGATATGCCCTGAGATATCACCTAGTATGTCTAGAGATGTATTTTGTGTCAACAAATTCCCTATAACCTGTATGAAGAGCTCGGAAATCTCACCCTGTATGACTGGCACTGTATTTTGTGGTATTTTGACCACAGGTTCATAAAAGCCGGTCATCTGTGGAATCTTGGTATTGAGAAGCTGTGTGGATCGCAAGACCTCAGTTGTCTCCCCTGAGGTTGACCCAGTGTCAGAGACAGATGACTCCTCTTTCTTTCTCCCTCGCCCTCTCTTGGTATTTGCTGTTGTGCCTTTCCTCTTTCCCTTGTCATCACCTCTCAATAATTCAATGGACTCATCCAAATCAAGCAGTTCTGTTAGCAGCAAACATGAAATACAAAACATTTACTGGTATAAATAATGGAAGTGCTGAAAATATATCTACTAATGAATGCAGAGTCAATTTTATCAACATATAGAAAACATCCCATGCACATAATTTGTGTTTGATGAAAAATCAATACCATACAGGAATAAGCAAATTCTTTGCCTGACAGCTGTAGGTAAACCAACATAAATCAACTGATATTCTGTCATGCATTGTTACAATGATTACATGAAATGAATGAATTTTTAAGAAATTTTCATAGTTTTTATCAATGATAATAACAAAAACATACCCTCAGCAGGGACAATGTTTAGAGCTGCTGGGCTTAAATTGTTCATCTGGTCATGCACATCACATACTGAAGGACTGTTTAAATTTTTCATGTCATTCTCCACAACACTCCTCAAGCTTGACTCCACATTGGGTGAGAACGACTCCTCTAAATCTAGTATCTGCATATCTACACATTCAGCCAGGTTGAATATTTTGTCCTCTTCTTCCTCAGTATTGTCCCTAACCATTTCATGTCCGATCAGTTTACGTGAGTTCTGGGCTGTCTGTGTTCGGCTTTTCCCCTTGACTAAACATTTACTTGTTGCAGGTTTACATTTTCCCGTTGTTTTCTTATTTGCTTTTGTAACACACCTTCCCACCTCCTCCTCATCAGAGATATCAAAACTGTACACATCAGTGGCAACAGATGCTACACATCTGATGTCTGAATCTTCATTCTTTCGCTCAAATTCAATATCTGCAACATTTTTTGATGACAGGCATTTATTATCTTTCTTACCCTGACGTCCTTTAACAATTTTGTCACAAACTTGATTTTTTTTGTTGGTTAATTTTGTTTTTCCTTCATCTTGATTCACTCTTGATTTCTGCTTACTATTGTCTTTTGTATCCATACTTGTCTTTGTAGTCTTAACACGACAAGGAATTCTCGATCGTCCTTTTTTGTTGGAATCATTTTCCTCTGTACATGTAATTTCTTTCAACAAGTTAAGTTGTGGTGTCTTCATGACTATGCTGTTGTCATCGCTTTTCTTCCTGGACTTTTTAGCATTTTTCTTGCTAGTTGTTTTTCCTCGCACAGACTTGACGTTAGTTTCCTCATCACTATCATCTAACAGATGATCCAATCTTGCCTTGCGACTACATACACTTCGAGGGGTCTTGAGAGGCATAGACACAGCCTCATCATTGTCAGTGTACACATATTGCTGACCACTTGGAGTATCACACAGGTCAGTTTTGCTCAGATTTGACCACTCATGTTTTGGTGTACTACTGATAGCTTCCTCTTTCAGTAACTTTACTCTTTTAACTGCTGCTTTCTTTGTTGTGTTTTTCTTGACTTGACTTGGGATGTTATTATCTGTCAGCAAATTATTTTTTCTATTTCTCCTCTGGTCACTTTCAGTTTCTACTTCCTCAGTATCCATATCACTTAGTGCTGTGCTAACATTTGAACAATCATTGATCTTGACCTTTGACATGGATGAAGTAACTTGTGCCATGTCATCATCATTGTAGAACAGATCTGACATGGCTGAGAGGTTGGTGGCAGAACAGTTCCCTGATATAACCTGCTGAGAGGTGTTGAAGAGTGAGTCACATTGAGACAATACTTGACAGAGGCGAAGATATGCCTCTAGTTGACTGACATAAACAGAAACCCCAGGGACCGTCTCACAGATTGCCAATCCAGATGTGGCTACACTGGCACACAGTTCCAGATCTCCAGAATCTGAAAAAATCTGTGCCTGTTTTGTCGTCACCTCCAAATAAAGCTCCTTGAATGACAACTTATCTACTTGAGCTGTGATCAGTTTTGGTGTTACATTAACGTCAGTCATCTTTTTCTTTTGCTTTCTTTTCTCTGTTTTGCTGTTTGTCACTGATGTTTCATGGGACATGCAAGACTCACAGATATTTTTAATTTGTTTTAAAGTATCTGACACTTCTTTATCAAGACTGACCTGACAATGTATTACCATCATTCCCACATGTAGGACACACAATGACATCCATGGATCTGTACAGACATCACAGTATTTCTTTTCTTTAATGTGCTCAAAACACTTTGGCAGAACTAAAAGATTAGAAAGATCTTCTTCCAGATTTTGTACCAGATCCTCCTCACATTCAAATCCAAAGTTTTCCTCAAGTTTTCTTTTGACAGATTTTTCTGGTGGGATTTTTGAAGATACTGGAGATTTCATTTTCAATTGTAGGGAAAAGGGCGCAATCCGATCAAGTGTACAACTTTCTAAAACATGACGACAGTCCAACACCGTGCTTGTTGCTTTGTCAATGTTTCCGGACAGATGGTGAATTTTCGCCAGCTCAATAAGAAACTGTATCGTCCTGAAATGAAACATCAATGTTCATATAAATTTCAGGCAGATCATGGGAAAGTAAAACTTACGACCCTATCATTTCTCTTACCCAGGACAGGTAAATCCACACTTTTTGCCAAAAAGGGATTTCCTTGTCTCACCCTACGGTTGCAACAAGATACACATGCTCTTTTTACATTCTGAAAACAATTGACTTTTATGAGGTCACACACATGCATTAGTTTGTCTGTTCCTGAAATCTTGTGTTATCATCAAGATTGAAACCCATCTTCATCCACAACTTCTTCTTTAAATATGCATAAAATATCAAAAGTATCATTTTATAAGACGTTTTATCAGCTTATATACTAGAATTATATTATGTGTAAGATTAAACCACAATATGTGAATCGTCTGAGGCATGGAAATGGTCAATTTTCATACCCTGTTCACATGTTTTTGTTTACACACCATACATTTCGTCTTAACCAAACGAAGAAAAAAGGGTAAGAGAAAAATTATCAATCACCCTTTTAAGGTGGAGATAGGGGGATCTCAACATTCAGAGAATGATTATTAAGCTGTCAACCACGGGGCTTGCAAAATGTTGACAACTTAACGATCTCCTCCTTGGGTTGAGATCCTCCTATCTCACCCGAAAGAGGTGAAAGGTTCCATTAATCACATATCTGGACAGTGATTGAGGTCATTTAAGTTGAACACACATTCTACAAAAAATAAGTCTTGACAAACAAAATGTCATTCATTCATTCATTGAATTTGTCTGTTCACAAACTTCAGGTCAAGGGTGATCATAATAGACAATTTTTATTGTATGTAGTAATAACAAATGAAACAGAAAGGGGACTTTATCTCCACCTGTATAGGTAGAATGCTACATACCAGTAGGGTAAACAGAGATGGTGAGACAGTTGCCAGCCCTCTCGGAGAAAGCATCTTGCTTCCCTTTCCTCTCCAGTCAGACTATACAGCTTACCAAGGTGTAACAGAGACTCCACCAGATCCTCTACTGCTGACCACTTGTCTAATGAATTGCTGCCTGTTAAAGAGTAACAAGTGGTATAAAACTTCCCCCAAAAAATTGCTATTATTTTCAGAGCAACCTGATTGATAAAAAAAACTTTTACAAAAGACACAAAAACAAGCTGTTGAAAATCTTCAAGGCTTAAAATTATTGCCCCAAGAACAGCTAGGGTCATTATGTGGTAGGTTTCCCTTGTAATTGTTCAGATGCTACCTCACCCATTGCAAGCAATCCAGAGAAGTTAGAGTAAAGTGTCTTGCCCAAGGACACAACCATATCAGCACAGATCTGTCCATTTCTCAAATTCCTGAAAATCACAAACTGGCATAGGTCAAGATTGTTGACCCACACACCTCAGAGCTTCAAAACCAATGCAATAGCATACCTGAAAATTCATCTGTTGTAAAGTTAAGGAACTCCTTCCCCAGAATGAGTTGAATAACACCTGTGTGCATCCTGATGGCATCAAGCGCAAAGTCCAAGGAGTACATGCTCTGGTACTGCTGCAAGCAGTTGGGAAGTCCCAGGAACATGGACATGAGACGCTTGGCAGTGCCTTCAGCAGAACACACAGATCGAGTCCTGGACTCTTGAGACTCCAGGAAGGATATAACAGAGGTCAGTCTGCTCATACCAAATTCCAGCTATAATTATAACGTATGAGGTCAGTAAGGTCATACCAAACATCTCGATCCACAAATTCTAATTTTAAAGTAAAAATCATGAAATACGAGAATTGACTAATTGGAATTGGTTGTGTAATTAATAAGCTAAGGATTATACTAGATTATGTAGACGACATTACTGAGATCAATTCATTGAAACATTCAAACTTGTTAGTAAAACTAAGCCCTTATGAATACCTGCTTGTGGCAGTATGCCTGATAAATATGGACCAACATGGACTGTAGAACCATGTCCCTCTGTGGTCCCTGAAGGTCAGCCAGCCGGTCAGCATCCTTTGGCCACTGAGGTTCAGTACAGCTTTTTTCTGTTTGTCCCACCAGAATGCGTGCCTCCAACATCCTAATATCCAGGGCTGACCGGTCTAGCGTAGGGTGTTGGTCTACTAGTTGTTGAGCAAGGTAGAGCACACGAAGCTCATTCTTGATCTGTTCAGAACGAGATTATTTTCTCTTGTTTTTAACTCTGTGACAACTTTTAAAACTGGAAAAATACTTTTTTTTCCTTTAATAATTTTTTTTATTTTTCCAAGATTTTACATGGTAGATACGATGTACACACACACACCCTCACACATCAACACCCTGGTGCACATATGTATTTGGTAAATGCATGTCTTACAAAACAAGATTATTTGTAGTCATACACTCAGCAATCTTTGACATCATCATCATCATGTGATTATATAAACATGTTTATATATATATGTTAATTCAACAAAAAAAATGGATAATAGAAAGAAGTATGTTAATCAAAACTGTATTAATTTGTCCCATTTTTTCCACTCATTCTCAAATTTACATTTTACTTTTTTCCACTCATTCTCAAATTTACATTTTACTATTTTTGTATCATGTAATTATCTTTGATGGGCCTGTAAGTTTAGTGAGTGGTGTAAGCATGTCATCTTGTAAATATACTGCTTAATAATAATTATCATTTCATTGTCTACTTGGTTACCAGGGAGCTAGGGAGCTAAAATCAATTGAAAAATTGGGGTTTTTTTAGTTTGTTTAGAACAATTCAGAGAATTCAAATTCATATAAATTTTTGATTGAGTGTATTCTATTTTATCACAAGTCATTTGCTTACTCTTCTAGAAAGTCGCAGTATACTGGAACACAGCATCAAGGTTGTCAGAAGGATACTGGGGTCAGTCCTGTTGTCAAGACAATCACTTCCTGTTAGTATCACTTCCCACAATGCTAAGGCTTTTTCCAGTTTTTCCATAGCAACTGTTTCCATGGCAACTGTATACATAGCTGGAGATGGAGGTTTTAGTGAGGAGCGGGTACCAGTATCCTCCTCTGGGTCTACAGATTCTCTGGTAGACATGTCACTTGTCATCATCACCTCAGTCATTGGCGACATGGTATGTGACAGGGCAAACATCTAGTTTAATAGAAAGGCCAAGTAAATTATTTACAGGTTTCCTATCCAAGTTTGTATTATTGGTGAAACATCTAGTTCAACAGAGACCAAGAAAATAATTTGTTGGTATTCTATCATAGTTTGTATTACTGTTGAAACATCAAGTTAAACAGAAAGGTCAATTAAAACATTTGTTGGCTTCCTATCCCAGTTTATATCACTTGTGAAATATCCAGTAAGGTAGCAAAACCAATTATTAACATACATCCAAATTAGAACACTCAGAATTGAAAACCAGATTTTTCAATCGAGTTGAAAAATTACAGCTATTTTGCACATGATATGGACATTTCAATATAAATTAAAAAATAAATACTTTTCTCCTTGACAACTGATACTTACTACAACCAGTCTGTTGCACTACTACTTAATCGTGTGTTCTACAATACTGAAGACTTTAAACTGTTGTCCAGAAGCTTGTTATAACCCTGTAAACACATCTTACCTGATGACACTGGTTCTCATGCTGTATGATGTAGGACCAGAGATAGACTTCCGCCAGCAGTACACTAGACATGGTATCCTTTGACTCTGACAGTAGCTCTTCTGCTTCCTGTATGTAGTCTAGTGAAGACCTGAAAATAATCAAATTTTTTTATCCTTTAAAAAAGTCCTTATTTATATCCAATTATTTTTCACACACAAAGCGTGCCTTTTCTGGGAACATTTAGAATAATTGATACACACTTACTTGTCCTCTGTGATCCCTTTCATCCAAAACAATTGACCAATGTCTAAGAGTGCCCTGGCCTGGACAGTGAATGTTTTTGAGACGGTCAGTATCACTTTAAGTATGGCCACCTCCACCTCACTGTAACTTCGCCTATTCATAAAAACAATGGCTTTTCATTTATCAAGTGCTGAAGTAGTTTAAACTTTACAAACACGCAATTGTTTGGACCAAACATGGCAACTGAATTAAAAAAGTAGGGAAAAATTACATAAATTTTTTTCTTTTTTTTTTTCTAACGTGTAAGCAAGAGTAAACTTGATGTGTCATAAAATATATTTATACCTATTGTTTCTAAATGCCAGTAACTCCATGCTAAGTAAGTCAGTGATGTCTAATTTCGTGTTTGGACATTTTGTCCACAGCCGCTCACCTAAAACCCTGCAATTCAGAACAGACTCATAATTTAATCTGACAAGTGAACTCTCTAAACACTGATAAGAAACAATTGTACATATCTGTCATCAAATCAAAACCAGTGCTCAATTTATAGTTAAATACAGGAAATATATTGTCAAATGCAATGCAATTAATTTAAATCTAAACACAGAATATATAATGTCAGCAAATTAAGATAAAGTCAATTAAACTCTCAACACAGATATAAATACATTTTTCATCAGATCAAGAGGCAGTCAATTAAAATCTCAACTCAAGATACTGATTTGTAAACAAATCAAGAAGAAGTCCGTTAAAATTTATGGATATATGTATTATATTAAATGAAGCCTGTTTAAATCTAAGGATACGTATTTGTCAAGAAGTTAGCTCGAACACAAGATAAATATATATTGGTCATCAGCCTGATATTAAAGTCACACAAGGTCAAATCTTACATCTGCTTAACACTGTTGATTCCATTTTTGATGGCTTCTTTCTTTGTTCTCACCCAGAGCTTGACAGCTGAGGTCATATGACTAGAATCTATCATCAAACAATGCTGGATTGTTTCCATGGCACTTGGTAAATCACCACTTTTTTTTTGACAATCTGACAAACACTCATACACCAGCCATAAGGAGACCTGTAACAGCAAGCTGGGCATGTAAAAAGTTCTCTCCAATTAGTATTGTAATGCATGATTTCCATTTGATTACAGAAGTTTTAAAAACTTTCTTGATCAAGTTTGATTCTGATTAACTTTGCAACTTTGAGTAACAGCTTTGGAGCATCAAATGTGTATCAGAGAAAACAGAAAATATCAAATTAAAAACTGAAATTTCTGGTTATTAGAAAGTGTTCATTTCAAAATTCTAGCAATTTCAGCAAGAAAATTTTGAATCAGAAACATTAATTTATTTTCAGCAGACATTTGACTCTTTGTTGGAAATCAATCTTTCCAAAATATTTAAATAAACTTCAAAATTCAGATATAAAAATAAGTCTTGCTTGGCCGACCTATGATTTCAAACCTGTAGGGTAAGTCTCACCTCCTGTAACCTCTGTTGTGTGAGTGACGGATCTGACTGCACCCACTTGGTCAGCTGGTGACATGAGATGGTGTAGAGTTTACATGCAGAAGAGTTATCTCCCTTGGTAGAATACAAATGACCAAGTTTGGACATTAGGTAGCCTGAAATGTTAAAATGGAATAGAAATAGCACTTCCTGTCTATTAAATAGACTGTTTCCCTTTCCCTTTAGTTGAAAACATCATGGCTTATTTCAATATAGGATAAAAAAATTTAACTCTAGTTTTTCACATGCCTATGTAACTGATGTAGGAAGCAAAATTGGAAAATGCAGGAAGGATAATGATAAGTGTTGATAAAATCAAGATGCTTCAATAAAATCTTAATCAATAAAATTTGGTACTGAGAAAAAGATGTCTTCATTTTCTAGAAAAACTTGGTAAATTGAATTGAACAAAGTCATCCAGCTCAATAGTGGAACAAAAGGCTTAATTTCCATATGTAACCCTCCATCATCCAAAGAACCATGGTACTTGCATACAAAATATGTAAGGTATTATTGCAGGCTACACCAGCATCTCTCAAGTTATACAAAAGGATCTTGCAGATCTTAGTTCCCAATAATTAAGAAATTGCATCCTACCACAGTAGTGTCGTTCTTGGTTAAGTTTCTTGGCTGACCAGTCCAACACATCAGTTTCCAATATTGTATCGTAATGACTAGACAGCTCTATCACAGCTTCCATGAAATACAGGTAAGATTCTCCTCCTGCAAATAAAGCATAAATAATTATTTCACTTAACTATATGTATAGTTATTTATAATTTACATTGATCAAATATATTCCTAAGAAATAACCATCTATATTATACCATCGTTGATGAATTAACAATTAATCTAAAAACAGAAAACTTTACTTTGACACTTTCAATCTTTAAATAATATCCATTAAAAAAATCAAACATTTTCTTTTAATTTGAACATTCAAATATGCCTGCGTGTGCATATTTTAAGAAATAATTTAAATAGAACAATTTTTTTCCTTCATTTTTTTTATTTCTTTTTATCTTTTTGGAAGACATTTCTCGTTTACATGAACAGACCCACCTTGAGTGTCTTTCAGGTATTTGAATAAGATCCGTAGACACAACTGTATATGTTCTACTGATGTCAACACCTGTTTACCATGGTCAATATTGGATGAAAACAACACACCTCCAATCCTCAATATTTCATGTATGGTTTCCACAACATGAAGGGATGTGCAGCTTTCTACATGCTTCAGCAATAGAGTGATCATATCATTGAGAAATGCCTTGCAGCTCTGTGGCCATGATTTATAACTTTTGTCAAAAGTTCTACAGAAAATTTCAACAACATTAGACAACTGGCAGACAATCTTTTTCCCAAACTTTTCAGTTGAAGACTTACATAACAAATCAAATACAAGAAAGAGATTTTGGACAACACTGAAAGAGTCTGACAAGTGACTTGTCACTTTCTGTTGCGTTTCCTCCAGCATCTTTAGACAATCTACGACCTTATGTTGAAGTGATCTCTGTAGAATGTACTTGAAGAGTCCAAGGAAGACAGAAAGCAAGCTGCTAGCCTCATTTTCCATGTAGAAACCATCTGAGGTCCGTTTGGTTAGGATTGACAACAGATCTTGTGTCAAGTTAACATACATCTCAGCATCTGTTTGCATGCCTTTGTTTTCGTACTGAACTGTCACTCTGTCATATCTGACCAAATATAAAGTATATCTAAATCTAAGGGACATGCAAGAACTCAAAACTAGGAAGATTTCTGTTTGTATTATGTAAACAATATTCAGTCTACATAACTAACTTGTGTATTGTGACAAAAATAGGATTTTCTTCCAAAAATAGAACACTGCCCTTCAATTTTTGTAACTGAATAATTTAACAGATCTTAAATTTCAATACAAGTTTTTAAATACTTAGCAAAATGATATTCATCATTTGAAATGGGGCATATTTTGCTAAATTTCTAGTTGTACAGGAAGTACTTGCATTTGTGAATTCATGCCATTTTCTTTCAAACATACAGAAAATTCACAAAAACGTAATTAACAAAATCTACAATACATTAACATCAATGACAAGGTTTTAGTTGTTACCTGCTAAATGCCACCAAATATTTTTCGATAAACACTGAAACAGTAGATGGACCAAACAAGAGAGTTTTCAAGGCTGCATGTCGTAGTTTGAGAACAATATCTGGGTTGCCAGTCTCCTGATCCTGTTCCAGTTTGGCAGCCACATTCCACATATAACTGTATGTGTTATGTATAATAGTATCCAAATTTCCATTCTTGGCTTCAATGTTGTATAATAATTCCTCTCGTAAATTTTCAGCGATAATCAGCTGACTTTCAGGAACTCCCTAAGGAAAACAAAGAAGTTATATGACATTGTATGTAAACACTAGTTAAGAAGAAAAAAATAAAATTTAAAAATAATTTTAGTACTGTTCATTACTACATTAACAGGTTAACTCTGAGTGGGATGTGTTGTACTGGAAACAAATATAGACATGAATTACCTGTACAAATATAATGACATGTTATCATATCCTATTAAATGTTTGTATACTCAAAACTGTCTGTTGATCTTCACTGATATATACTTCATTTATAATCAGGCAATTGATTTTGGTAAAAAGAACATCCAAGTGGTATAACCTTTTGTGGTAATTTAGTTAGCAGATGATACAGAAGCTTTAGCACAGTCAATGGTTCATTCAGTTTAATCTCATCCCTCGCAACCTTGTATCCCAAGTAACAGCTATGGACAGCCTGAAGAAGACTGCTGGTTACTGCACTGTTGTTCACATGTGACACAGATGTGTGGAGGAATTTGACTGTGTACAATCCATACTTGGATTTGTCCTCTTTTTTAGTAGAATTCTTCTTACACAGCAGTGGGGCCAGGTAGTTCTAGATAAGAAAAAGGAAATCTCTTTGAGACAAATTAGACATTTTGACCATTTGTTACATTTGTTAAACATTAAAGTCATATTTCAGGAATTTACTTCACTACTTTAGGAATGGGTTCCATGGTTTTTAATTCAGAAAAAAAGTGCTACAAATATCAACATCTAAAATGGGGAGAAAACATCAAAACTTAAAGACATTTTGATGCAATCATAGCTAAAAGGTAGGTCTCTCCAATAGAGCTAAAATACCTAAAAAAAAAAAAAAAAAGCAACCATGTACATGTGAACCAAAAGCTCACTTAAATAAGTTGAACACAAGTCAGCAACATCAGATTTAAAAAAAAATCTTTGATTACCCTTAATTTAGGGAATAACACTTAGATTAGGGGGGGGATGGCTTTGCAATTAGGAAAGGGGTCATTGGTCAACAGGTGTACATGTTGTGATATGATAGAGATGTACAAGACATTGAGAGGGAAATACGACGAGGGCCGGGGGATCACAGTTTATAAGGACAAACTCATTGAAATATTCCCAAAACATTAAGAACATCACTACGGCAAATTCTTTCTCCATAAGAACATAAACTGTATGGGAAAGTTTGTCTGATCATGTATTAACTGCAAACACACTAAACAGCTTGAAAAACAAACTGGGTGACTATTAGAATGGACAGGAAATAAAGTACAACTAGATGTGGCAATATGTATAACAACCAGAAGTGAAATTTATAATTATAATAATAACTTTTATAAGGCAAGCGAAGAGGATCCCTAAAGGAACCTGAGCTGGAAATTAAGAAATCAGAAGTGGTATAGTATGGATGGGCAGGGTGGTTTTCATTATTTTGAAGTTGTTGCAGTATACACCACATGACATTTTTTAGAAAGAAATTGAAGAAAAATTAATTCAATATATAAATGGTAAAATGCGTGCCTGACTCATTGTATTGACAATCACTACAAATAAATATCGTCAGAATCAAACAGCATAACTTCAAAATACATGAAAAAGGCCTCGTTGAATCGACTATAAACAACTCGGCCAAATAACCTCAATGTCTTGTCCGATCGTTTCATGTTTCCCAGTCTGTAAATCAGAAAGGAAAAGTTGTCCAGCCATGTCCACATGGATATAGCTACTTGGAAATCCACTGAGCCGATTCTAATGAATTAACATTTTATGTTGCACAGGATCCATTTCAATGTTCCCGCTCAGCCTTGTTTCAAAATGGTCGCCATTATCTGCGGAACTGACCGGAAATAAGAAAACGTTTAAATCATTAGTTCTTATTTCTCATGACATTTTGATATCTAAGAACTTCAGTGTTAACGAAGAATTCTTAAATATTCAAATTAGTATTCACACTTTGTCATTAATCAATATAATTAAACATGGCTATAATATTTCCGAAGTTTGTAGTTTCTGTTTATAACTTCCGGTCAAAACATTGCCGTGCGTTTGGTTTTAGTTTTGTAGTTTTCGGATTGAACAAACCAATCATGGAATATCAGGAAGAAAAGCTAACAGACGCACTCGTTCTGGCAAGGACTAGAGCTTCTGATCTTGAAAGTGTCAAGAAACTGAATTTTTGGTAAATATATATATTCGTTTTTAAATGAGAGTGTCGAATGACTCAATCTTGACCAACGGAATGTGATAACACCACAAGCATCGTACGTGTTATGTGAAATGACAGAAATATAAAACAATTATCGGAGTCATATATTATATAGATAATATCAATGTTTCACACAGCACATATGGTGCATATAAAAACACTGAATTTGACATCAATGCTTGTAACAGCACATGTCCGTTGCACTTACCACTCCCACATGTATCTGTTGACCCCCACCCACTCTCATACACATCCATTATCATTCGACAATCACATAAGCGAAAAACTAAAGAAAGCGAACTCTATTTTTGGTCTTATAAGAAGAACATTCCAGTTTATGGGCCAAAAATGTTTTATTCCGTTACATCAATGTCTAATATGCTAACACTTGGATTACACTAGTCCTTTGTGGGCACCAAATCAGAAAGCATATTGACAAAATAGAGAGAGTATAAGAAGGGCAACTATATATCTCATTGGCATGTGATACCTTGACAACAGCCAGAGATTAAAAAACTAAGCCTTCAAGAAAGTTAGAGCATGAATGACAGAACTTTATAAAATTATGGAATATACAAATGTATAACCAGGAATGCTGTTATTCAGCCATATTATGGGATGACACCACTCAATGACAAAGCTATCAAGTAAAATCTAAAACAATTTCTCTAAAGCATGATTCTACACTACTAAGACTTTTTTTCAAATAGATTGGTATTGAGATTTGGAATGAATTACTAGAACAAGCTAATTCTGCAAAAAATATTAATAAGTATAAAAATGAGTTAGACCAATACTGGAAAAACCAAGAACTGATTTTTTAATGCAGGACTGAAATCACTAAGTTATGGTAATACTTAAACTAACAATGTAACCCAAGAAATAATGCATAATATTTTATATGTATTTAAAATTGTAATACTTTATATGTATTTTTGAGCCTGGTATAGAGAACTTACATATACGCAAGTTCAGAATGGAAATAAACTTATCTTATGTTTGTGAGACATCTTTGCACCCTACACATGTCCTCCCCATACCAGATGTCTGCTTACACACTATTCTACACATATTCATATGAAACCTAATAACCCTCCATCTAACTGCCCACTATCCACTTGACACTTACCACCCACACTTTACTACCTACCCCACACATGTTCATTACACCCTCTACTCCACACACACACACCTTACCCCATTCCACCCTACCCCAGTTGACCCCACCTGAACCCCAAGGAAGTCATTTCACTTGAGATACTACAATTGTACAACATAGCATCAATGTTAATTAGATCATTCTAACACAATTCACCAAAATATTGACTGCTTCATCAACTGCCTCAAAATCTTTGAACACAAATAATCCACAATATAAACCCTGGGTTACAAAAATTATTCAGTCTTATATGTTGCATGAACATTTTATAAAATAGAACAAAACATTTATCATGTAGTATTTTGTCTATTTCCCAGGGGCTCTGATATAGAAAATGTCAGTGTGGTTCGCAGAATGCCTAACCTAGAAGTCTGCAGTCTCAGGTAATTATACAAAAATGCAATTAAAAGGGCAAATCATTAAGAGCCTTTAATAGACTCTCCTTATTAAATCTTTTCCATTAAAAAAAGTAGCTAGGTATTAAATAATGTTCCAAGTTGTACATGTTGAATGTAAACTTTTTGGAAAAACTAAAAGGCCATCATCTGGCCATATTGGATTTTGATAGTAGCAATTTGTTAGTGCTGTTTTTAAATTGGCATATTGTGAGTATTCAGTTTTTGAAATGATAGAGGAGATGAAAAAAGGCCACAAGTAGTCACAATGGATTTTGACAGTTCTTTTTCATTATGCCTATTTTCCATGTAATACTTATGGAACATTCTAAAATTTCATTTGTGGCATGACACAAGTTAATAAAATGCTCTATTTTTTTCAGTGTCAATAGCATAACAACATTAGAAGATTTTTCTTACTGTCCAAATTTACAAGAACTTTACATAAGAAAAAATAAGATTAAAGACCTCTCAGAAATCAATCATCTTGCCACATTGCCACGATTACGGAATCTGTGGCTTGCCGACAACCCATGTGCAGACACTGAAAACTACAGATCAATTGTACTAAAAACACTGCCAACCCTACAAAAGCTGGACAACATTGGTAAGTCTGCCACAGCATACTTGTGAGTTAAATGATTGAGTTTACATTACATGAATACAAGTTTTATCCACTTAAAAAACCATATTCTCTCAAAGAAATACATTCGAAAACAGTTTTTCTTTGTTGTAAAACTATAGATGTACATTGTATCTCTTAATATTTATGGTTCTGCCATTGTCATGTCCAGGTCATCAGGTCAGTACATGGGTCTGCAGTACTATAAATAAAATCACATATTGATATAGAAAATCAGTATCCTTGAAACTTGATGCTAAGATCTAGAGTTTGAGAAATACTACCCATTGTAGAAAAGGTGAGTTCTTGGCCTATTTTAAGAAATGGAAAAAGTTCAACCAGCTGTTTTGGTCAGAATTCAAAGGAGGGATAGGATAAAAATACTATGATGAGGTTTGATTGATAATCCCTTTTCATGACTGCATGATTTGGAAATATGTTTGGTTAAACTAATTGGCTCTGTTTTATTGGAAAATTTCCCTATTTGGAGGTGTTATTTCCCCATGTTTACAGTATATTCTCTTGATGGGAGAGAGGGAAACATAACATGTGGGGAATATAGTGTACTACCTTTATCCAATAGTAATATTTGTCTAGATTAATCCCTGCATGTGTATTAGTATTTCACTTCCATGTATTGTGTTCATCCTGCAAGAACTCTTACACACAATTTCTGTTGTGTCATGAGGTGAGCTTGTTACAGAACAATGCAATTTGTTGGTGATTGTGCTGAACAGCAGTAGATATAGACTTGTTGATAGACAAAGGGCTTATGGAAAGTTAAATATGGTATGTTTGTAATGTTCTTACTTGAAATATGGAATATCTCGTGTTACATTATAATTGCAGGTTTTTAACATACAATAATGTATATAAATCTTAAAAAACAAAATAAAGAAATGTTCAGTAGGATTGAATAGAGTTTTAAGAATTGATGAACACTATACAATAAGAAATCAATGTAATTTATTACTGTTGATTTTTGTCTGAATTGAAATAATTTCTACGTGTATTATCATACATGTCCAAAGACAAAATTCAGAACTCAATGACTTATGTAATTATTTCAGTCGTAACAGAGAGTGAAAAAGCTGAATTTGCTGATACTAAACTGCTGACAAATGACACCAGGGACCCTGAAGTCACTGGTTTAGTTTCCACTGGTGAAGAGGCTACAGGTTTAGAAGCCACTGGTAGAGAGGCCACTGGTAAAGAGGCTACAGGTTTAGAAGCCACTGGTAGAGAGGCTACTGGTGAAGAGGCTACAGGTTTAGAGGCCACTGGTAGAGAGGCCACTGGTGAAGAGGCTACAGGTTTAGAGGCCACTGGTAGAGAGGCCACTGGTGAAGAGGCTACAGGCTTAGAGGCAACTAACACAGAAGCCCAAGGACAAGACTCATTAATCTCTCTTGATGACAAAGAGCCTGAATCCAGTCACTTTAGTCAGAATAATGTTAGAGAGGATGAGAAAAGTTCTGATGAATCTATGACAGAGGTTAAGGTTACAGAGGAGAGTTCCAATGTCAAGGACAAAGATTTCAAACCTCATAAAAGTGCTGTGCTGGATCCTGTTACACTAACATGGGAAGAAACAAAGTGAGTTTTACTTGTGTTTCACATATATCCTGTCCCTAATTCATCCTCAACCCCAGGTGAAAATCTCACTATCGCTTGAATAAAGGATGGTGCTATTTTCACCTAGGCACCGAAGATAGTCCAGTCCCATCCCATCCATCCTTCCAATTCAAAATTCAATCTTAAAGTTCATTCTTTTAATGCATTTTGATAAATTGTACAAAACGGTAACTATGATAATCAAAGTCACTTACTATTTATAGGAAATTATCAACAAATTCAGTAACATCATTTTAGTAACTTTGTTTGTCTGGGGATTTTGATACAACTTTACACCAAGGTATTACAATATAATGAGAATATCTCAAATGGGTTTATGGTTCAATGCTTTGTTACTATTTCTGCATAATTTGTCAAACAGCTAAGGAACACAAGTGTGGAGACATTGTTGATTTACAGACATTTTCTGGTTCCTGACCTGTGATATTGTACCAGTGTTCATAATCATGGTTTCTTCACAAATTTAAACAAATTTAGTCTCTTTTCTCTCTTGGAGCAATGAAGCAATTCAAATTAGATTTGATGTGAGAGTCACCATCAGAATAACAGAATACATATTTTTTTTATACCTACAATTGTTGAAGCTTGACCAATGAAAGTGTTACTGCATGTTACTAGTCCCAAAATTCTATGAGAAATGAAACAGTATCCAGTATGTATTCAGTGATTTCAGTTTTAAATGTATTAGATGTAGATCTCTATCTTATTAGACCATTGTTTTTAGTTCAGAATCACTGAAGATGTCTCTTTTGGGCAACTTTTGTTTTACACTTCACTTTTAACATTTCAGCAAAATTAGACAAGAGGTTGGATTAAAGCCACTACCATTTGAGAAGATCACATCCACAAGGCCTGTTCCAGCAAGTGCAATGACGTCACGGGTAAGACATTGTCATGTCAGTTCTTAATACTCAGTACTATTGTCTCCATATACTTCATTGGTAGATTATTGAAATACAACTTTTCATTTCGATCCCTTGCTGGATAGTGAATGTGATTTAAGCCCAAAAATGTGACTTTTAAAGTGCGAACTAAACAGTTTGTCCTCATGAATGAAGAGGCTCCAGGATTATTATGATTATAGAAAAAAGTGGTCATGTCTACACTGCAGCTCATAAGGTACAGCATTTATCCAGCAGTAAAGTGAGTAAACCCATGCCTAGCAATAAGCCCACCCCCTGACTTCGGGTCAGAGGTTATGTGTTGGCCTCCTGAGCTTATTGCAGTGATACAGTACAATGATAATATAACTACATTTCCATTCCCTGTATCAGTTGTGAAATTGTTTGTAAAATCAAAGTTATTTTTTAGTTTGACCTTTGCTCTTGTTATTTAAATTCAGTACTTTGATTTATGTTATAGAATGCCCATATATTACAAGCAGTGATGATACTGATAAGAGAGTTGGATGACGACAGTCTGGAGACAGTACAATATACTATACAGCGGAAACTCCACCCACCTTCGTGATCAGTCATATTAGTTTACAAAGGGGTACACAGCAAATTTTGACCATATTGAGATGCTAAACTCATGTATAGATGGAGCATTATGCTACAGATGTTTTGGTATTTTTTTCTCTTTAAACCAGAGAAAATATAATCAACTTGTACATCAAAATCAGCTCAAACTTCAGGAAATTATATATTATATTTTGACATCACAGATTTTCCAATTTTTCTCTTGAATATTTGGGGTCGATGAGGAGGACATTATATTTAGGTTTGTATATTTATTGAATGCATGGAATGATATATAGGTGTCTGTACAGTAGTTATAACAGAAGTGAAAAATAAAATACAGTTGATCCACCAATAACTGCTTTTCTAGTTAGCCATCTCAGAAGGTAGTTATGTGAATTATTTTTGTCTTAGGAATATTAATTTTGTTTTTTTTTTTTCAATTTGGTTTTGCCAGTTTCAAGGATTTATTAAAAGATATTATAAACATGTCATGGTGTGTAAGGGGATGGAATCGGATGACCTGTTCAGACTTTAGGTTTAGATTTTTTTTTATCTTAGAAAAATAAATCATTTCAGGAATCAAAATGTATTTGTGAAAATAGATCACAATTATCATAAAAAATTATTGTTTATAGAAAAAAAACTAGGACTATCAAAATTAATATTCTGAAGTTATGAATAACATGTGTATGAAACAGACTTCTAAGATGGCTGACTTGATGGGAAGTTTTTCATAAATTACTGTATCTAACATTTTACTCTTGTCAGAAATTGTGCTAACTGCAGAAATGTTTCTGTAGGACTTTGTTTTTGTTTAAATGTTTCTTGCCATATAAAAAATTGACTGCCTTAGTAGGTATTTTAGAACGTCAGAGTGACATGTCTTTTTGTCATTGACTCATTTGGATATTGTACATGGGTTTTTTTTTTCATTTGTTACAAACTTTATCCATAGCAATTTTTAAAAGATCTTAAAACATTATATTTCCTGGAAAGATATTTTCATTACTTATTCATTGATGTGTGAGATACACACTCAACCAACATGTTTGTTAAAAAGACGCAAGATATTTGTGTATTGCCAAAATTGTGTATTGAAAAAATATCTTATGTATTCTAAATATTGTTTACATAGAGGCTACACAAAGGGTGGTTGTGGAATATTATATTTCTTTCACTCAAGTTCTTATATTTCAAAAGTCAGAAAAGAACACAAGCTTAAGCCAGTATTTTTGTAACTTATGAATATTATCTTACAAGAGTGAAAGAAATGCTTATTATAACAATCATGAGTTTGTGTTACCAGTTTCTACCACAATCAAATTATTGATTCAAATTATTAAAAAAACATTTGTGAACTACTCATTACATGTTCTAATTTCCATGTGTGCATGAAGTGCCCTTTGGGTGGAAGTTCATTCTGTCTGCCAATCAAAACATTTTAAAGTGTTATTCCTCATGTGGTACAACTTAAATGTTTAAACAATAGTATGAGTGATTAATTGATGCCTTGGTAGTTGAGTATGCTCACTGATTGTGGTAGAAGTATTCTGAAATCTATTTCTGTATCAGAAGTTATTGTCTATTTCTAAATTGATAGTCACTCCGTGTTGTAAGTGCACTTTTGGAAGTAAGATTTTTCAGTATACAATAGTTTAACCCTGTTCACACAAATTAGGATGGCATCAAAACATACAGTTGTGGATTCTGTACTTGATACAATTTGTACTAAAGTAGTGTCATATATGATATCATTAAGAGTCAGCATGTCATATTTTCAGTTTATTCTGCTTACTGTGTTTATGAAATATTATCAGGCTGAAGTATCACTGGTGTAAAGTGAAAGAAATAGAAATATTGAATTACCTGTAAATATACTGTTAATTATTATGAAAAGTATAACATCTCTTGTCCATTGTATAATACTGGTTATTGTCTACAATAACAATAATTTTGTATTCAGAGATAATGAATTAAGAACCAGGTTGCTTTCATCTATCAATTTGAATCTGACAAGAATTATCAAAAGAAAACAACTAGAGGGATCCAATTGTGCTTGTCCAAAATATAAATTTTGACTCAAAAATGGTACAAGGTAGTCAGAAGTTTTTCAACAACAAAATGAATACTTTACTGTATCATTTTACACAGTGTCAAACTGGTTTAATTTGTGCTCCACATGTTACATAGGTCCACCATCAGTGTTTAGTGTATAAATGTACTAAATTTTGGCACAATCGGTGATAATTGCTATACATATGTAAGCAATGTACAGAAACTGCAATAAGATGAATAATATTTTAGCACAATTATCTCTGTGTGATAAATACTGAAAAAGATTAACACTAAACTATGTACATTTACAGTATCACATTGACATTGCCAGTGGACTGTTTCAACTTAGATAAATGAAAACAAACTGGTTGCAAGTCATTACTTAGACGACTTAGTTGATGAACTGAAACAATTGTTGTCTTGAATCTACAACTTAAGGTTTTATATAGTCTGTAAGTCACATCTTTAGTCTGATTTGCCTCAAATACAAGCCTTAGTTTATTTCCGTCCATTTTCATTATTCTGCAAAATGTGATATATTATTCCCACCGTTGCACAATTTTTAGTTTCTTCTTTTTTTTTAAGTTTTTGTTTTTATGATTTTCCATTTATGTGAAATGTGATATATTATCTTTAACATTGAATGTACAGTGGATTGTAATTCATGGTTATTTTTGATATGTGGGCTTTATTGGTACATAACTTCATCATCTGTACCGGGTATATCATCATACAAATGTATATTATAAAGACAATTTTAGTCATCATTAACATATACTTCACCTATTTGCTTTGTAGATGTAATTGACCCAATTTGGTGTTTAGATATAAAGTTCAATCACTTTGTGAAGCTAAGCAAAAACAAACAAAATTGGCAGGCTTAGCACCATATTTGTTTTCAGGCAGTGAAAACTTGTGTTGGCCCATTGTACCATCAGTTCTGAATGAGATCTTTCATCTTTTAGTCAATACTTGAAGACCTTTTACGGAATATAAATCATCATCACTATGCATACATGTACATGTAGTTAGGATACTCCAATTTTGTTGTTATCTCTGAGAAAATGCTCAACACACTACCACATGCTGCTGATGGTAAAGTGAGTGTTATATGTGTGTATTGCATTCATCCAACGGCCTTACAATGATAATCTTAAAAATGTACTTTTATGTAAAGTGAACTGTTTTGTGTCAACTCAGCAATATTTATTTACAGCCAAAACATTCCAGGTCCTCCACAGCATTGATATATACTTTTGTTAGGTCATCTGACCCAAAGGGTCATAATTACTTAGAACCGTCATGCTTCATCCAACGTCATCCGCCGTGACTGTGTGCTGTGTGCTGTCTGCCATTCGTCATGCGTAAACTTTTGACATTTTGAACTTCTTCTCAAGTTCCACCAGCGGGATTGAGCTCAAACTTGCATGAAATGATCCTGAGATGCTCCTAGCCATGTGTTGTAATTTTTTTGGTATGTCTGAAATCCAAGATGGCCACTATGGCTGCCATCTTGAAAAACATGTTTTAAACTTCTTTCCCAGTACCACTGGTACCATTGAGCTAAGAACTGGTAGGAATGGGAAGGAAAGGTAGCCAACAAAATGTTATTATTTTTTTACCTGTCAAAACTTCGACACAGCAGTCAGGGAGGCCATATTTTAACATGCTAGCACAATCATGGTTTTCCTGTGCAACACCTATTTCAGACTTCTTCTCATGTTTCACCAGTGGGATTGAGCTCCAGCTTTACAGTCGAAAAATAGGTAGCACTTGTTACAGTTACCTACTCCTCACCAAAACTACTATCTGCATCATGGAAAACAGCTTCTTAGTAAGATTTCATTCAAAGTAGAAAAAATTACCCTTCTCCCTGCTGAAAGTTTTGTAGTCAGATAACCATTGGCCTCTTGTTGAACACCCTTTGTAACATAAAATTACTTTGTCATGATGAGATATTCCACTGATCTTACAAATCAGTTTGGAAATCAACCTACATGGATATAGTCATCTGATTCTACGTACAGTGTATTACTTTTAAATTTTCATTCAACTCAAATTTCATTGTTTTATAAAAAAAAAAATGCATTTTCGTTGGCACTAGATTTCATGGATAAATCTTGTTCACAAAATCCACTGGTCCAGCACTATCACATATGTCAATTTTTATCTGTTTTTCATTTCATGAAGATTTAATTTGTGGACGAACAGTAACCAAGAATTTAACCAAAATAAAATCCCCTCTAAAATGAATGATTTTACAGTAGTTTTAATTTTAAAACTGTACAAGATGTCCTCAACTGTGAATAGTCTTCTTATGAAATTTTGTATTGCTTTGTGTTTTAAAGCTGAGATTTAGCATGAAATACTGTTCATTTTTACAAAAGAAATATGTATTTTCATTTGGTAGGCAGCAGGTTGATCCTACATGTTGCCAGCAATCACGACAGAAGTGCCTCAATTATGTCTGTACGTGCAATAGCTAGCTTACACTTCACAATCCACCTGTAACCCCAGCTCAACTGATATCATATTTGTGTACAAAACCTATTTTTTGTAATGGATATATGACAGAATCTGTTTGACTATACAAGTCCAGAAATCTCTTCAAATGTAAAGATATAGAAATATATGATATATAAAATCTTTTTTTGGGTATGATCCTGCTTCCACTAAAACCTGCAACTCCAAACTTCTCAGTGCCCCCATCTCCCATGCAAGCTTCAAGAGGCTGCACTCGTTACGCTCGGTTAATACACTACTATATTAAACAAGGGACTTGTTCCTTCATACACCTTCTTATGTATTTAACAACCACTTTGTAACTTGTTGATTTTTAACAGGATAACATTACATTCTATCGTAATACGAGTTATCGCAATAATGAACAAGCCGTTACCATGCTTTGTATCTGGTAAGCAAAAGATATATATATATACATGTATATATAATTCTCATCAGTATACTACCAAATTTAGAGGGCAGTTAACATGGTGTAGCAGTGGAATATTTGTCTGAATGAAGAAAAGTCTTTCAATGTCTGTATACATAATGACATGAGGACTTTAGGATGACTTAAGGATATATGCTACCATATTTTGACATAGGGACTTTAGGATGCTAGTATATCGTTTTATTGGGATTTAAGGATGTAATTTTTATGGTACCATAATTTGACATGGAGATTATCATCTAACAGAATTCCTGACTATCAGACTTTCAGGAAATAGGAAAATCATTGAAAGTTTTCTCCTACTTAGATGAAGCTAAGGGGGAAAAAAAGATGTTTTTTTTTTTTATTTTAATGCCTTGTAACAGACAAGGGCATCAATAAGACAGGATTTTCAATCACTTATCATCTTTAGGGCCGGTTATTGACACACAATATATACAGGAATGTAACTAACATTTTCATGATACCGAAAGAATTAGGCAAAACTGGAAAAAAATATTAACAAGAATATAGGAGTTTTCTGGATCTAGTTCTGGTCAAGTAAGGCAGAATAAACCAATTAGTAATTGTTATTTAAGTCCTAATCTGCTGTAGAATGATTTCATTTTTTCAGAGGTGTAGGCCCTAATTTGTTGGGACAATTTATTGCTTTGTGCATGGACATTTGAATACTTGTATTGTATCAAAGTAATAGAATTCAATTTGGTACATGTATTTGAAAATTGATGGTGATCTCAAGTCTTGGGGTTAACATTTTCTGTAAATTTTGTCACAAGCTTTTAATATCATTATTTTCACAATATCTTGAATGAATGATATATAAATTTTTTTATCATCTTGTGTGTAAAAGCAGTTAATTCTTATAGTGCTATTGCATATAAGCATAAAATGCTATTATTTCCTTTATGCTAAACATTATATTGTGTATACATTTTTAAATTTGTATAAGATGTTGCATAAAGATTTATCATTCCAATTGTACATTTGTTCTGTACTTAGCCGGTTAAAAACTACATGTAATAAATTTTGCCACTATATAATTGAAGTATATTTTTCATTTTGAGTCTTTTCCTATTAAAGCCATTTTAGGACTTAAAGATGCCAGCTTTAGCCCACCATCATAAATGATTGGTTGTTCAAATCAGACTTTGTCATTGGTACATAATCTGCCTGAAAATTATCCTTGTTATCACTATTTCTTAAGAAATACTGGAAGAATATTTCTCGAAATTTGATATATTAAGAGTGTGCCCTTAGTCCCTTATCGTGCCCATCCAAATCTGTGTCTAGTCAGAAAAACACCATTACCACGAAGCAGCCATCTTGGATTTTGGCAGTCAAAGTTAGTTATCTCCCTATTTCCCTGGAAGAACTGGCAGGACATTTCTGGTATTTGATGTATAGGCTTTCCTTGGCCTCCAGTTGTGCCCATATAATTCCAAGTTGGTTTTGGAAACAAAATGGCAGACAGCCAGTCATCTTGGATTTCGAAAGTTGAATTTTGTTATCGCTGTATTTTGAGAAGTACTAAAAGAATAATTCTGAAACTCAATTTGCAGTTTTCCCCTGATACTTAGTTGTGCCCATATAATTTTGATGTTGACCAGGAAAAAAAATTTCAGACAGGCTGCCATCTTTAATTTTGAAAATGACAGTTTGTTATCACAACAGATTTTTCATGATCAACTCAGCTATCCTTTAATTCTAGCTGACATGTCTTTTTTAATTTTGGATTGATCAAAAAAGAAAATAATTGACAGGTGGCATCTTACAGTTTGAATAGGAAGAATTGTTTCTGCTATTCTTGTGAAGTATCGTATGAATTGTTCTCGGGGTTTCAAATAAAGGCAGTCTTGAAACTTTGACTGAAAGTTTGTTATTGTCATATCTTGGGATTAAGATGTTGTTAATGGATCTTTCTCATACTTGAATTTGGTTCCTAGTTTTTCCCTTTTGATCCTGGGATTCATCAGCAAAAAAAAAAATGCCTGTCATGTGGCCATCTGGAATTTTGACAATTAAAGTTTATTATTGCTATTTCCGGGGAAGCTTTTGATGAATCTTTCTAAGATTTCATATATGGGTCCCCTTTGGTCCCTTAATGAGCTCTTTTTATTTTTGGTCTGATCATGATCATGAAAAACAAATTGACTGGAAAGCAACCATTTTGAAGTTGGCGTTTAAAGATCAACATTAACAATGTATAAATATTTCCTAAAAGGAATTTTCTAATTTCAGAAAATGAATAGCCGAAACAATGATCAAATGAAATGAGATCCAACTTTTAGACTGGGTACAGATTAAACAATCGTAGGTGCAACAGACATTTCTTGTAATAATATTGATATACTATATATATATATATTTATGTATATATATAAGTGTATCAGTTTATCTTTCGTGTTAAAGCTATTAAACATAAAAAGTAATCAAACTGTTTGAGGACAAGGTTTACTAAAAAATATATCTAACAAATGATTTTAATGTATTGATTTTTTTTTCAGAAATATTACGCATTTTAAATGGGTGCGTATATGTAGAACTACCTTCACAGCTGGCATTTAATACAGATAAAAAGGGTGTATCGTTTGTAACGTTGATTTTGGGGAAATCCATATTTTGAAACTGCACAATTACTAGATTATTGAATTTATCTCATACGATATCAAAAGTAAACTATATAATAATTTTGACGTGTAATATTTCCGATACTAATTATACTGAGCATGTATGCTTTAATAAAAAAATACCCCGTTCCTGAGCCCCAATTTCCTCGTCCGGATTTGACCGGTTGGTTCTTTATATAGACTGCCTGGGAAAGTTCAAGGTCGATAATTCGGAACTCTTGCTTGCGAAGGATATGAAAACACCAGAGATACCCGACTAAAATTACATTGCACCACTCAGTGGCAAGAGTTGTGCAATATCCCAGCGCAGGTATATATACCGCCGTTTTCATTTGCCGAGATATCCTTTCCCAACGTCTGGGTTGGACAGCACATCGAAGAGGGATCCCCTCTACATTTTTCACAAGAAACTTTTATTTTCACCCTTTTTTTTTAGTTCACCTGGTTGGTGTTGGTTAGTGTGAACACTCATAACCAAATTGTTCAAAGTCCGTTGTCCAATTAAGGTCACGAATTCGGTTGTGACTATTCCAGTGAACGGTTATAAAGTGACAAGTTCGTTGGGAAACGTGGAGGAAGTGTCAAACTTACCAAATCAAGGGAAGTTCTACCATATTATGTTCAATAACCCTCAAAGTAATTGTCATTATTTCAATACTGAGAGCGGTTGTAAGTTTGGGACTAACTGTAAGTTTTTTCACGTGACTATTCCCCCTCCTAATCCAGCAAATATAAATCAAAATGAAACAGTAAGAAGGAACGTCGACTCTCCACCACAGTCAACAACCTTTTGCTCCAATCGGACGACGGACCACAGCCATGAAGAAACAGTAAGAAGCACAGATCAGCTTGTTTCTCCAGCGTTGTTATTTACATCTTCAAGTCTCACAAGAACACACAAAGATGGCCCAGTGAAAAGCAAAGTTGTTAATCCTTCTCGTGCTTTAGAGTCAAACAGTCCAATTTCTTCAGGTGATGCTGAAGGAAATGGAAGTCAGAATGAAAGTGGAGCAAAGCCCTGCTTTCAGTTCAATAAATATGGACAATGTCGATTTGGTGCTAAATGCAGATTCAGTCATGGATATAATCTGAAAAGATCGGATCAAGATGGCGAGAAAAAAGGTACCAAACAGGTGAAGGAAACTTTGCCTGAATTAGCAGCAGAAACCACACCGCATGTGGACAGACCTAATGGATCAAAGCCAGAGAGGAAAACAAAGACCCCAGTGACATGCCGCTATTTCATCACTGGTCGATGTAGAAGTGGAGCAAAGTGTAGGTTCTATCATCCACATGGAAATGAAAAACTAGGTGGTACATCGGCTTACAAGACTACAGAGGACAATGAAATGTCACAGGAAAGTGGACACAAAATTTCTGAGGAGGTTGTATCAACATGTCCAAAAGATTCCAAAGTCCATGTTACACCCAGACCAGCATATATCCCTACAACAGTAAAAAGAGAAATCAAGCGTGACAAAGTTGGCATGGAAGTCATCAAAAAACTTCAAGCAACAGAAATCGAGCAGCTGAAGAAACGATTCCCAACAGATAAACTGACAACAATTAAAGAATCTGATAATGGGGACAACATTTACCGTCTTAGCTTCAAACCATCTGATCCAGACTGGGTAAGTATTGTACACATACACAAGACTCTTGATCACACTTAATTTCATTTGAACTCTGTGGCAAGAATACCATGTACATTGAATAAAAAAAAAATAAAGTATTCCTACCAGCAACTTGCACATCGTGTGGTACAAGCTTTAAGCATACTCCAAATAAATGAAAATGAGATATCTGACCAGTCCTATAAGTAATGAATAATGAGGAATGTTGGTAGGTTTTGAAGTGATTTGAAGCAATATTAAGTAAATATGTAAATTATTTTTCAGCCATTCGATGTCAATGTATACGACATTCAACTGAAATTTCCTCAAAATTACCCAATCAAGGTAAGTGAAGATAGACACTGAACAGTTTCTTCCCAATATAATAATTTTCTGTCAAAATTTAATGTTATAGTTAATAAATCAGTGAAGGATATTTGTAATTTAAAAGCAAAGTTGGTGTTTCATTTTTATTGAGTGATGTCTTTAAGAATATATACCTGTTAGAAGTAAGACAATTCCATGCATTCGATGGTTTTGATACTGTGATATGTAAGTAATGTTACTGTATGAATCTGATCTTCAGATGTTTAAGACAGAGTTACCAACTGACCAAGACCTTCCTGAAACTGTGAGAAGGTACGTATACACATGTCAAACTGTTGTGTCATTAAAATTGCTTTTTTAATATAATCCTGCAGGCAGAAGCAACTACTGTGAAAATCATTTATTACAAGTAGTATTACTACAAATGTTGTAATTGTAGTTTATAACTGAATTAACACTGAGGAACCAGTAATTTTTGTAAGATTTTTTCAGAACACATTTTCCAAAATGTTGATGAGGTCCACTACTAAGACATACAATGGATCCAACAGGAAATTTATGAATCCAAGACTCATATATCTTTAGTCACAAAAATCACTGATATTAAGTATATCATACATTGGAAAATATTGACAGGAGCTGTCCTAATTGTAGATGTTTTTTGAAAGAGTTACTCAGACGTTGGTTACAATGTTTACAGGTATGTGGAGGCTTCTATCTGTGAGTGGTTGGACCATAGAGAGACTGAATTGGAGACCAGAGGAGTTCTGGAGCTAACATTCCGTCCCTTCATTCACTGGCTGGACAAAGATTTAGAGGAGATTGTTACAGAAGGCCTCAGACAGGTAAATACATTCAATACTTTAGATATTGAATATAATAACTTTTCAAACACAAGCAAATTGTTCCTTAACTTGCTATGAATCTAAAATATGATTATGTATGCTATAATTTCCACAAAGTATAATATTGCATTTCAATTGCACTGTTTCTTTAAATTGTTGATTATATATCATTCCAGAGTTAGATTACGTGAAAAAATTTACATTATTATCAAAGCATAAGCAAAAGGAGTAATCATGCAAATTGTTTCCTGTGATGTAGATCAACACAAGATCAAATGAATGTATAAGATTATACTTATTTGTACTTTATACACAGCTTCAAAGAGAATTGATGGCAAAGGCAGCTGGCTTTGAGTTTATTCCTGCCAGCGTGCTGAGGGATCGCCTAAGGGAAAGGAACTCTGGAGGATCGCAAGAGGAAGAGACAACAGAAAGTGAGGAAGACAGTGACTCTGGGAAAGAGATGGAAAATGTTGTTGTTTATAGAAAGAAAGATGAGGAGGAAGTATACAAAGGTATGTTTCATGTACAGAGCAATTATTTTGGCATACATTATCAGGCTAAATTCAGCATAACATCAATGACAGGTAATTAAAGAGTTAACAACAAAACTGTTGAAGTTTTCGATGGTCTGATTTCCATTCACTGTTGCAGGATAAATATAATATATGGTCATTGTCTTAACATATTAGTTGCATTATGGCTCAAAGTGGCTTGCCAGAGACTTGCCACTTTTGTTGTTCTTCACCCTTGCCAAAGTACAGCTGATATTTTAAGGAACTGACAGTGTATTCTCCAATTATGTTTACATTTTTCATACTTGACTTTTATAAATAAGTCTGTGTCAATTTATATAATTCTGCATCATTAACTCGACATAGTTTGATAGTTACAAAAAAGGTTCTTATATCAACAATTTACTGTAAAATTAAGATAAAGTTTATAATTAAGATAATTTTTTGCAACGCATTCATTTTTCACAGGTCCAGAGGCATATAGTTCTGATGAGGATGAGGATGAAGACATGGACCTCGTAACAGGAAAGTTTGAGGAGGCCAACCTAAATGCTGAAAGGAAAGGAACAGAAATCAGACTTCGCAACCTTGTGATGAAAGAAACAGTCTCGACAATGACCTACACACAAATTAAGATCATTGTCCAGTGTTCCCGCTGTAAGAGCAACACTAACCTCTTGACCCCTGTTGGAAGGGTCAACTTGCTTCCATGCTTCAAGTGTCACTCCCAAATGCTGTTGACATTCAGACCAGCCATTATGCATCCCTACTCCTCAGTCATGGGCTATCTAGACCTTGAAGGATGTGTACCTTTTGATCTCCTCCTACAAGACTCTGCATACAAACTTGGTTGCATGAATTGTAACAAGGAGACTAAAGTTGATGTAAGTTCATCTAAAGAGATTTAAATTATTTTTTTATGAATGTTAACATTCACATTGGAATTAAGGTTGAATGTTATATTGTATGGTATTGGATGAAAGAGATGGATTAAGAGGAAGAAAAAGAATATAGCACACCAATTAAAGATCTTATTCAATAATTGTGAAAAGACAAAAATTAAAATCTATCGGGCACGGTTTATAAAATGGATATGTTTGTCCATACAGAGTTTGTATCCTGGTCAGCCAATGGACACATGGTGTAAGTCATGCCACCAGAAACTCCGGGTGGCAGCAGAAGATGCCAAGTTCACATTGCTGCTGCCTACTGGTGTGGAGACAGGTGGGTAGTAATGTTTTCTATCAAGTAATGATTAAAAGAGTATGGCAGATATTTTCACCAACACAAAGTACAAGTAAATGCATAAAAAAACTGGTATACAAGTATTTTAGTGTCTAGTGTTATGTCTCCTGATTTGGACATTACTGTATAAGTAATGTTTTTTTTTAATCAGTTTTTTTTTCTTAAAACCATTCCAGACACACAGATTTGTTATAGATGTATAGTACAGTGAAATTAGTTATTGACTTATGAATTTTTTCCCCAGAGAAAACAAAAGTTTATGAAGTTGATGTGAAGAAAGTGAAACGGATTGTCCAGGACCCCGTCATCAAGTTCGGCAATCCTCTTCCTGATAATGGCACCTGCAAGCACTACAAGAAGAGTTTCCGTTGGTTCAGGTATAAACAGATTAAATATGTAGATTATGTGATAGTTGTTCTCCTTACCTATTTGGGAGTCCCACAGCAAGGTGAAGTATTGCTGAAATCATTGTGTCTAATAGTGTTGCCACTGTATCCTTTCTTTGAAAACCATTTTTCTTAGAGCGTTCTAATAATTCAAAGTCTGTGATACATTGTGTATGGAAACTGTTTCACTTACTGTGTCTATAAAGATAGTGATTCCAGTTATTAAAATGATCTTCTTAAATTTTCTTTTTTGCAAAGTTGGCCTAATTTGCTGTTTTGGATTTGAGTTTATAGAGTTTATTCATTTATTCATTTGCCTCCAGACTCCCTATTGAAAGTTTTGTTTCATTCTCCCTACAGATTTCCCTGTTGTGGAAAATGTTATGCTTGTGACCTGTGTCATGAGGAGGGGGAGGATGGACATGAGATGTTGCTAGCCAATCGGATGATCTGTGGATTTTGTTGTCGGGAGCAGCCATTTGCTTTGGAGAAACCATGCATATCTTGTGGTCACTCTATGACAAAGACAACCACTTCTCACTGGGAGGGCGGAATGGGCTGTCGGGACAAGATCCGCATGAACAAGTGAGTTATCTATTAAATTCAATTTCATTTTATAACATTTTATTTGTCACATCAGACAAGGGGACTTATGGATCAGTTCAAGATTTGTTTGTGTGGGTGTTTTTTGGGAAACATCAGCCAACAAGTAAGGCTCGTGTAATATTCCAAAACAGGATATACATAATTCATTCTTTACATAAATACTGATGTTAAAAATCCTTGTAAAAACATATTGTTTCTGAGGTAGTGAAAGTTTAATAGTTAAGACTCCAAACTATCTCATGAATACCAAGATCATCATTAATATATATTATTGTGTTAACTTTTATCGTTTAAGAGCTTGTAAATTCTAATTCTAAAAGCCAAAGGATGATCACAGTGTTGCTTCGTTGAATAGTTTTGTAACATGTTCTATTAAAACTATTTCTTTTTCAGGAATGATTCACAGAAATATTCAAATATGAACAAAACTGTGTCAAGGAAGGCAACTGAGAAACGGCAACCAAATAAAAAGAAAAATGTCAAACTGAGGCATTCTTCTAAGTAGTTTACACAGCTGTACAAATGGACACAGCTATTTGACATCTGTATTAATCCACAGCTGTACAAATGGACAAGGCTATTTGACTTCTTTGTAGTCTACACAGCTGTACAAATGGACACAGCTATTTGACTTCTAAGAAGTCCATACAACTGTACAAATTGACAGCTATTTGTCATCTATTAATATTACAGAACATGAGTGGAATTGTACTTTGTTAATTATTTCTTCTCGTAAATTGTCAAAGTTTTGTTCTTGTTGTAAATTGTCAAAGATTTTGTTTTGAATGTACCCGGCACAATCCTGTATCTTTTGAGCTTTGTTAATACAGAGCAGGATATCCTGTTCAAGAGTTGTAGTAATAGAACTTAGGATCTTGTTTATCCAGGTTATTACAGCAAATTATTTTTGTTTTTAGTCTGTGTAAAATATGTAATTCTGTTTTTGAAGTTTAAAACAAAGTGCTATAATTTCTATATACTTTTAGATAAGTGCATAGATAGAGTTTAAACAGTATAGAAATATCCTATATCTATTTGACTCTTTGTCTGCATTGAATGTTTGCTGTGTTTCTGTGCCAGAAAGTCTTGCCATTTAAAGGAGAAATAAAGCTTGCACGGCAGTATGTCTGCTTTTGGCTAAAGGGATGTAAAGTTTTCTGTGGGAATGGGTTTCAGACTGTAAGTAAATTGATCAGAAGTAAACACCAACAAAACCTAATGCTGTTCTCTTTATTACTTGAAAGATTTTTCCCTTTTCCATTGTTTATGTTGTCAACTCATTTTGTTCATTCAAATGTTTTATTTCTGTATATGTATTATTTTAATGATGCTAAATCCTCGTGTGGCTTCATGGGGTACATGTGTACAGTCTCTGTGTGGCTTTGGGAGATTAACATCTGTAAATACCCTGACTCCGCCCCCTAAAACTATTATAGTGGGGGCCCTGAGTGGAGTTCCCAGGAACCAGAGATGTTGGTACCACATGTTATATACAGTATGGCTATCTGTTTGTGATGGTCAGTTTAACATTTGATGTACTTAAGTAATGGAAAAACATGTTGGAAATAATTTTATCGAAATTAAATAACTTTTAATCAATACTGAAAATGATTGAACATTATTATAGTAGCAGGAATTTATTTTATTTTTCGTTTGAAAACAAAACATAACTAGAATGGTATGTTTAGTACATGTATCTTTTGATTAGGATGGCATGAATTCTTTTAAATTTGACTCTTGATTTCAAAATGTAAATATATTTGCATATTTCTTTCTTATATATGCAAATTGCCATGTTTTGTAACCGTGTATGTTATGTTGATCAACTATTTTGACCCAATTTTATGTTTCGTTTTGAATAAAACGTTTTCAACCATAAAAGTGTGTTCTTTTTGAAATGTTTTATATAATAATTCTGTTTCATTGACCTCTTTTGGACTACCATGATTGACCTCTTTTGGACTACCATCATCAGATGAAGTACTGTGAAATCAACATTCCTGGGTCCATCTAAAACAATTCTTGATATTGTTACTTTAAGTACAGAAGGGATCATTGTCAATTGCTGAACCTGATATATGTAAAATCTAAAGATTACTGTTGTGTAGAACAATTTTTATTGATAGCAGGCTGTTTTTCGTTTTGTTACTTTTTAGACAAAAAATATGTTGTGTACTTTTAATGCAATGTGTTAAAACGTTATTTTGACATCGGTGTCAAGAAATTTACACTTATATTTTGTTTAATTTCCGAATTTTAGCATTTAATTTCATTTAGAATAATGGAATATGGATATTTAATCAGCTGTGATTCCAATGTCTACTCACTTCTGTAGTATCCAATAATCTTCAGTCTGGAATCCATAGGTATCTGGAAAATTAACTTGAAAGCAATGAAATAGCATAACAAATTATATGAGATGCTTTGTCATTGAATTAAATGAAAGTATGTTAGTGTGTTGTTGACAAATTGAACTTTCAAAACGAGCAAGTTTTCTGATTCCTAACTGTGCTACACCATTAATAGTTTTACGGGTCTGAGCATGAGTTGTGATTCCTGTTTGTGTTACACCATTAATAGTTTTACAGGTATGAGCATGAGTTGTGATTCCTGTTTGTGTTACACCATTAATAGTTTTACGGGTCTGAGCATGAGTTGTGATTCCTGTTTGTGTTACACCATTAATAGTTTTACGTTCTGAGCATGAGTTGTGATTCCTGTTTGTGTTGAGCCTGTTTGTGTTACCTGTTTGTGTTACACCATTAATAGTTTTACGGGTCTGAGCATGAGTTGTGATTCCTGTTTGTGTTACACCATTAATAGTTTTACGGGTCTGAGCATGAGTTGTTCCTGTTTGTGTTACACCATTAATAGTTTTACGCTGAGCATGAGTTGTGATTCCTGTTTGTGTTACACCATTAATAGTTTTACGTGTCTGAGCATGAGTTGTGATTCCTGTTTGTGTTACACCATTAATAGTTTTACGGGTCTGAGCATGAGTTGTGATTCCTGTTTGTGTTACACCATTAATAGTTTTATGGGTCTGAGCATGAGTTGTGATTCCTGTTTGTGCTACACCATTAATAGTTTTACGCATGGGTTCTGATTCCTGTTTGTGTTACACCATTAATAGTTTTACAGGTCTGAGCATGAGTTGTGATTCCTGTTTGTGTTACACCATTAATAGTTTTACGGGTCTGAGCATGAGTTGTGATTCCTGTTTGTGTTACACCATTAATAGTTTTACGGGTCTGAGCATGAGTTGTGATTCCTGTTTGTGTTACACCATTAATAGTTTTACGGGTCTGAGCATGAGTTGTGATTCCTGTTTGTGTTACACCATTAATAGTTTTACGGGTCTGAGCATGAGTTGTGATTCCTGTTTGTGTTACACCATTAATAGTTTTACGGGTCTGAGCATGAGTTGTGATTCCTGTTTGTGTTACACAATTAATTACACCATTAATAGTTTTACGTAGCATGAGTTGTGATTCCTGTTTGTGTTACACCATTAATAGTTTTACGGGTCTGAGCATGAGTTGTGATTCCTGTTTGTGTTACACCATTAATAGTTTTACGTGATTCCTGTTTGTGTTACACCATTAATAGTTTTACGGGTCTGAGCATGAGTTGTGATTCCTGTTTGTGTTACACCATTAATAGTTTTACGGGTCTGAGCATGATTCCTGTTGTGTTACACCATTAATAGTTTTATTCCTGTTTGTGTTACACCATTAATAGTTTTACGGGTCTGAGCATGAGTTGTGATTCCTGTTTGTGTTACACCATTAATAGTTTTACGGGTCTGAGCATGAGTTGTGATTCCTGTTTGTGTTACACCATTAATAGTTTTACAGCATGAGTTGTGATTCCTGTTTGTGTTACACCATTAAGTTTTACGGGTCTGATGCATGAGTTGTGATTCCTGTTTGTGTTACACCATTAATAGTCCTGTTTGTGTTACACCATTACTGAGCATGAGTTGTGATTCCTGTTTGTGTTACACCATTAATAGTTTTACGTCTGAGCATGAGTTGTGATTCCTGTTTGTGTTACACCATTAATAGTTTTACGGGTCTGAGCATGAGTTGTGATTCCTGTTTGTGTTACACCATTAATAGTTTTACGGGTCTGAGCATGAGTTGTGATTCCTGTTTGTGTTACACCATTAATAGTTTTATGGGTCTGAGCAAGGGTTCTGATTCCTGTTTGTGCTACACCATTAATAGTTTTACGGGTCTGAGCATGAGTTGTGATTCCTGTTTGTGTTACACCATTAATAGTTTTACGGGTCTGAGCATGAGTTGTGATTCCTGTTTGTGTTACACCATTAATAGTTTTACGGGTCTGAGCATGAGTTGTGATTCCTGTTTGTGTTACACCATTAATAGTTTTACGGGTTCATGAGTTGTGATTCTGTTTGTGTTACACCATTAATAGTTTTAGGGGTCTGAGCATGAGTTGTGATTCCTGTTTGTGTTACACCATTAATAGTTTTACGGGTCTGAGCATGAGTTGTGATTCCTGTTTGTGTTACACCATTAATAGTTTTACGGGTCTGAGCATGAGTTGTGATTCCTGTTTGTGTTACACCATTAATAGTTTTACGTCTGAGCATGAGTTGTGATTCCTGTTTGTGTTTCACCATTAATAGTTTTACGGGTTGTTTGTGTTACACCATTAATAGTTTTACATGAGTTGTGATTCCTGTTTGTGTTACACCATTAATAGTTTTACGGGTCTGAGCATGAGTTGTGATTCCTGTTTGTGTTACACCATTAATAGTTTTACGGGTCTGAGCATGAGTTGTGATTCCTGTTTGTGTTACACCATTAATAGTTTTATGTGTCTGAGCAAGGGTTCTGATTCCTGTTTGTGCTACACCATTAATAGTTTTACGGGTCTGAGCATGAGTTGTGATTCCTGTTTGTGCTACACCATTAATAGTTTTACGGGTCTGAGCATGAGTTGTGATTCCTGTTTGTGCTACACCATTAATAGTTTTACGGGTCTGAGCATGAGTTGTGATTCCTGTTTGTGTTACACCATTAATAGTTTTACGGGTCTGAGCATGAGTTGTGATTCCTGTTTGTGTTACACCATTAATAGTTTTACGGGTCTGAGCATGAGTTGTGATTCCTGTTTGTGTTACACCATTAATAGTTTTACTGGTCTGAGCATGAGTTGTGATTCCTGTTTGTGTTACACCATTACTAGTTTTATGGGTCTGAGCAAGAGTTCTAACTACACCATTAATAGTTTTATGGGTCTGAGCATGAGTTGTGATTCCTGTTTGTGTTACACCATTAATAGTTTTACGGGTCGGAGATAGTTTTACATCCATTCACTTTTTAATGTTTATGACACAAAGGAAGCGAAACAAAACTGGATTGAACATAGTCAACTGACGGTCACTTAATGATTTTGAAATGTTTCTACATGATAAAAAAAAATTATTATTCTGTATTCAGCATTTTATGTATAGGTATTTGTTTGAAGATTTCAACTTGCCAACTTCAAAATCAAAATAATCTTGGTGACGTTATTTCAATATAACTCGCTTCCTTCTACACGCACGTCTTACTCGTCTTTGCTTCCAGTTACTCTTTTTGATTAAAGTCGTTTGACCATTAAATGTGTCTGCCAATTTAAGCAAATTGAATATCTGCTTAGCGATTACTTTAGTGTTCCACTGACTAATTTCTATTACTTTAGTGTTCTACTGACTAATTTATATCACTTTTGTGTTCCACCGACAAACTTATATCACTTTAGTGTTCCACTGACTAATTTCTATAACTTTATTGTTCTACCGACTAACTTCTATCA